GAGGAGGCCCCCCGCGGCGCAGACGCGGGGGCTGCGGCAGGGGCCCCCATGCGCGCAGGCCGAGCCAGCTGGCGGGGCACCGCGGCGGGGCACTGCGGTGGGGCACCGCCTCCGGCCGGGGCGGGGGATGTGGTCGTTGTGGCGGCCGCATCGGCGGGGGCACAGTGTTTTCTGTTCCTGAGCTCGACGCCAAAGTACACATCGCAGTGTGCTTGACAACCGGTGGCCGCACAAAAACGCCAGGTGGAGGAGGAGGAGGCAGTGCGTTGACAGATTCTACTGCTGCCTTCTCGACTACCCTGGGAACGCGCGTGAGCGACGACGTGTGCTCGTCCACCCAAGCACTCCAAGAGGACGCCATCAGTGTGGTGACGGCCAGCACGGGCTGCGTGCTGTGGGTGGAGCCGGACAGGGTAAACAGATTTTGGGCTAACGCACGCCAAGAGGATAATCGATGGGGGGTCCTCGTGGCCACTCACTGGGTGAGCCCGCGCGGAGACGCATGCGGACACCGACACTGGGGCCTTCGGTGGAGCTCCCTATGAGGCCACGAACCATGCCACTGGGGCCTTCACTGGAGCTCCCGGTGGGGCACCGAAGCGCCGCATTGGCTCGGGGAGAGCATGCGGACATCGCCGCTGGGGCCTTCGGTGGAGCTCCCGATTGGGCCACGAAACGTTGTACTGCGTGGGGGAAACGCATACAGACGCCACCATTGGGGCCTTCGGTGGAGCTCCCTGTGGGGCCACGAAACGCTGTACTGGCTGGGGGAAAACGCATGCGAACCGTGCCACTGGGGTCTTAGGTGTAGCTCCCTATGGAGCCGCGAAGCGGAGGAAAACTCCGCAGGGCTGACAGATCTTTTCAGTGACATGCCCTCTCCCTCTGCGGGAAGGCGGAAGCAGGGGAGGGGAGGAGAGTGGGGAGTTTGGGGGGGAAGGCACGGGAAATGTGTAATTATGTATGTGTATATATATATGTGTAAAAATGAATAAAAATAAAAAGAGAGAGGGAGAGGGAGAGAGGGCGTGGGATGTGCGCTACATGGCATTTTGTCGCATCGCTCACTCCTGCCCCTCTCTCCTCCGCCTTCATCCTTCCCCTCTCGTGCTTCCCACTCCCCCTCCCTCGTCCCCCTTGCCACTCCCCATCACTACCCCCCTGCCCCGTCCTCGGTTCCCTCCCTTTCCGTCTCTTGCCCCCGCCCCCCACCCTCCCGGTGCTCACAGAAGTGGTCCCAGCCTGAGGTGTCCCGGAGCCCGCCTCAAAAGCTCCGCAGCTCTTGAGCACGAAATCCGCGGAACTTCGGTGGCCCGGTCTGGCCCGTTTCTGTTTGGAGTCCCGAAACGGTGCGGTGACAGACCGTGCGGTGACCTCGAGACCCCAAGAGACCTCACCGCACGGTCCGTCACCGCACGGTCTTGGGACCCTGGAGGCCCCTGTCGCCCGAGACATCATCGGAGAGGAATTCGAGTCCCAAAACTGTGCGGTGACCCCGAATCCCCACCGACTCACCGCACGGTGTGGTCACCGCCCCGTTTGGGGACTCCCGACACAAACTTTGAGTGGCCCGGACGTTGCCCGGAAGGCGCCTCGGAACCCCGCAACGGCCCTGGGGCTGGGGGCACCACGGGCCGGGGCCGCTCCTACCAGCACTTCTGTCGGGCGTGTCCCCCTACAGGGGGATTTTCGACGAAAAATATACAAAACCCAACAACAACCCAAAAAGGTCAAAAAATTATCCGGCAAAGCAACCTAACAGCGATGTGTAGGAGCATGTCTGGAAGCATTCCCCTTAAGATTCAGATGAGAATCCAGTGTAGAATTCTGCTGTTCTCGCAGTCGCAGTCGCATTCGCGATGACAGTCGCAGTGGCAACGGCAGTCGCAGTCACAGCCTCAGCCTCAGCCTGCCTCAGCATCAGCCTCAGCCTGCCTCAGCCTCAGCCTGCGTCAGCCTCAGCCTCAGCCTGCTTCAGCCTCAGCCTCAGTCTGCCTTCAGCATCGGCCTCAGCCTCAGCCTGCCGCAGCCTCACCCTGCATCAGCCTCAGCCTCAGCCTCAGCCTGCCTCAGCCTCAGCCTGCCTCAGCCTCAGCCTCAGCCTGCCTCTGCCTCTGCCTCAGCCTGCTTCAGCCTCAGCCTCAGTCTGCTTTCAGCCTCGGCCTCAGCCTCAGCCTGCATCAGCCTCAGCCTGCATCAGCCTCAGCCTCAGCCTCAGCCTGCCTCAGCATCAGCCTGTCTCAGTCTGCCTTCAGCCTCGGCATCAGCCTCAGCCTGCCTCAGCCTCGGCCTCAGCCTCAGCCTCAGTCTGCCTGCAGCCTCGGCCTCAGCCTCAGCCTGCCTCAGCTTCAGCCTGCATCAGCCTCAGCCTCAGCCTCAGCCTGCCTCGGCATCAGCCTGCCTCAGCCTCAGCCTCAGCCTGCCTCAGCCTCAGCCTCAGCCTGCTTCAACCTCAGCCTCAGTCTGCTTTCAGCCTCGGCCTCAGCCTCAGCCTGCCTCAGCCTCAGCCCGCCTCAGCCTCAGCCTCAGCCTCAGCCTCAGCCTGCCTCAGCATCAGCCTGCCTCAGCCTCAGCCTCAGCCTGCCTCTGCCTCAGCCTCAGCCTGCATCAGCCTCAGCCTCAGTCTGCTTTCAGCCTCGGCCTCAGCCTCAGTCTGCTTTAAGCCTCGGCCTCAGCCTCAGCCTGCCTCAGCCTCAGCCTGCATCAGCCTCGACCTCAGCCTCAGCCTGCCTCAGCATAAGCCTGCCTCAGCCTCAGCCTCAGCCTGCCTCAGCCTCAGCCTGCGTCAGCCTCAGCCTCAGCCTGCTTCAGCCTCAGCCTCAGTCTGCCTTCAGCCTCAGCCTCAGCCTGCCTCAGCCTCAGCCTGCATCAGCCTCAGCCTCAGCCTCAGCCTGCCTCAGCATCAGCCTGCCTCAGCCTCAGCCTCAGCCTGCCTCAGCCTCAGCCTCAGCTTCAGCTCAGCCTCAGTCTGCCTTCAGCCTCGGCCTCAGCCTCAGCCTGCCTCAGCCTCAGCCTGCATCAGCCTCAGCCTCAGCCTCAGCCTCAGCCTCAGCCTCAGCCTGCCTCAGCCTCAGCCTGCCTCAGCCTCCTCAGCCTGCTTCAGCCTCAGCCTCAGCCTGCCTCAGCCTCAGCCTCAGCCTCAGCCTCAGCCTCAGCCTCAGCCTGCCTCAGCATCAGCCTGCCTCAGCCTCAGCCTCAGCCTCAGCCTGCCTCAGCCTCAGCCTCAGCCTGCCTCAGCCTCAGCCTCAGCCTCAGCCTCAGTCTGCCTTCAGCCTCGGCCTCAGCCTCAGCCTGCCTCAGCCCATCAGCCTCAGCCTCAGCCTCAGCCTCAGCCTCAGCCTCAGCCTGCCTCAGCCTCAGCCTCAGCCTCAGCCTCAGCAGCCTCAGCCTCAGCCTCAGCCTCAGCTGCTCAGCCTCAGCCTCAGCCTCAGCCTCAGCCTCAGCCTCAGCCTCAGCCTCAGCCTCAGCCTGCCTCAGCCTCAGCCTCAGCCTGCCTCAGCATCAGCCTCAGCCTCAGCCTCAGCCTCTGCCTCAGTCAGCCTGCTTCAGCCTCAGCCTCAGTCTGCCTTCAGCCTCGGCCTCAGCCTCAGCCTGCCTCAGCCTCAGCCTGCATCAGCCTCAGCCTCAGCCTCAGCCTGCCTTCAGCCTCAGCCTGCTTCAGCCCCAGCCTCAGCCTGCCTCAGCCTCAGTCTCAGCCTGCTTCAGCCTCAGCCTCAGTCTGCCTTCAGCCACAGCCTCAGCCTCAACCTGCCTCAGCCTCAGCCTGCATCAGCCTCAGCCTCAGCCTCAGCCTGCCTCAGCCTCAGCCTGCCTCAGCCTCAGCCTCAGCCTGCATCAGCCTCAGCCTCAGCCTGCCTCAGCCTCAGCCTCAGTCTGCCTTCAGCCTCGGCATCAGCCTCAGCCTGCCTGAGCCTCAGCCTCAGCCTGCCTCAGCATTCAAAATGTGGCCCGGGAATGGAGTTCCAGGAACTCGAAGAACACGAAGTGGCCTGCAGTTGGCTCCGGGCATTCAAAATCATGCCCAGGAATGGAGTTCTGGGAACTCGAAGACCACGAAGTGGCCTACAGTTGGCTCGGGGCATTCAAAATCATGCCCATCATTGTTTTACCATTTTTGGGGTAATTCTTATTTTTCGTCGAAAGCGTCCCTGTAGGGGGCCAGGCCCGACTGAAACCAACACCCTCGCCACACCTCCGACATCGTGACTTTGCTGTTGCGGCGTTCGTCCCAAGAGGCTGCTCCCCGCGTCCACTTTTTCTGTCGCCAATCGTTTTCTCATGGATGGGAGGCCCGGGATCAGGTCACCCAAACTTTGGAGACACCGGCCGTTGAGACTTCATCACAACGGCGGAATTCGACCTGTAACCCACGGCAGATTTCGCTCAAAACCACTGCAGTAAGAATCACACTCACTTCCCGTCAGGCTTCCATTTGGATTATCGCTGACTTCGAGAAGCGGCCAGTACGGTTCTAGAGGATGCCAAGAGAGGGGGGCAATACGGATCGAAATGGGACGATGAGGGTCACGGGACAACTCAGGACGCATCCGAGCGGATCTTCGACGGTCTGGAAAAAGATTCCAAGAGGCCCCTCAGAGGCTCCAAGAGAGTCTTACGATAGGACGATGAGAATGTCATGCTGCAGATAGCGCAGGATACGTTCGGGGCATTCTGGCGTATCTGGCCCCCCCTCGGCCACTCGCACTCGCAGCTCGTCCCTGGCTGTGCGGGACGACGCGAAAACCTGGAGATCCCAGAACGTATCGTTACAAGCACGTCTCGCGCCCTCGCCAAGAAGGCCCGCAGCGCGGGCGCCACGCGTCCCCCGATCCGTTTCGCGCCCGTCTCGGAGGAGGAGGAGGAGGACGGTGGGGGGGGGAGGAGGAGGCGGAGGAGGAGGCGGAGGAGGCGGAGGAGGAGGAGGAGCAGGAGCGGGCCGCCGTCGCCGCCACAGGCAAGAAACACCCACCGTGGGCCCCCTCGGCCCGGGCGTGCGGGGCCTCCGCCCCCGACCACCATCAGCATGCGCACCGACTGCTCCCCAAGGCGGCTGGGCGCCGGGTAGAGGTTCAGGACGGCCACCACGGTCAGCCTCCGGAGCAGGTGCGCCACGCCGACCTCTCTCGGGCGCGAGGGGGCAGGAGATGCAGGGGCAAGAGGAACAGTGGCGGGGGGAGGGGGGGAGGGATGAAGGGGCGCGGCGGGAGGGGGAGGACCCTCCGCATCGTGTCGTCCTCCACTTCCCCCATCCCTTCCTCTCTCCCTTCTCCCTCCCTTCTCCCCTCTCCCTCCAATCCTCCGGTTCTCCCCCGAATGGCTGGGATTCTTACATGCAAACCACGTAGGGAACCGTCGTCCCGGGACGCCAGGAGGCAACGGATATAGATATCTCTGGGCACGAGCATACCCATATCCGCTGACTCCTGGTGTCACGGGACGTCGGTTCTCCAGGCGGCGCATCTGTCTATGTCATAGCCTCGGATCCGACCGTTACTCCGCGGACCGATTCTGGAGCTCGATCTGACTAGGATTTCGAGGCGAACCCAGCCGTGGGCACGAGGGCCTCCCAGGAAGCCTCAAAAGGCGAGCACACGGGTCGAGTTTGCAGCATCGGTACATTTCCCTCCTCTGGCCTCCTTCTCTCTTGCCGCATCTACGAAGACCTTACCTCTTACATCGCGCCGCTATTCTCGTCGGACCTGCGTTGGACACGAGGCAAAACCGCCATTTGCAGGACAGGCAGACAGGACTTCCCCAACATGCAGCGCTAAGTTAGAAGCCTCCTGGATGGGGTCGGAGTAGATGGGGGCGAAGCATCGCGCCGCATCGCCGATACTTCGGCGATACATCGGCGATGCATCGGGATGCATCTGGGATGCACCAGCGACGCATCGTCGACGTCGGCGGTGCATCGGCGACGTCGACGTGAAGCAAATCGGGCCCCGCATCGAGCCGCACCGCCAATGCATCGGCGATGCGGCGCGATCCTGGGACCCCATCTACTCGGACCCCATCTAGGAGGCTGGAGAAGTCGCCCTCCCTGCCTTAGGGGGGGGGGGGCCTGCAGCGCCTCGCAGCCCTCGAAGACCAGCGTCAGCCGGGCAATGCTGAGCAGGTGGCGGCACGCCTGCTTGCCAGCGGCCGGCCTCACTCGGGCGGCCGCGTGCGCGCTTTGAGTGCCCTTTGCATGGGGAGAGAAAGACGGATAGAGAGAGAGAGAGAGAGAGAAAAAAAAAAAAAAGAGAGCGCCGGAAAACGTCTCCTGGGGACGGCCGTAGAAGAGCAGAAGGCGGGGAAGGGAAAGGGATGGCCCCAAACTTGGGAGACAAAAGGTACCAATACCACCGCTGCTCCCCAGACCTCTCCTGGGGTGCGTTCTGACCAGGATCTCGAGGCGAATCCCGCGATGGCGACGAGGGCTTCCCGGGAGGGCCTGACGTGCGAAAACAGGCGAACCGTAGCTGTATGTGTGCCTTCTCATTCTCCGGAGAACGCCGACAGCGCGGCCTTACAGTATTCGCCGTCTCTCCTCCGCCCTCCTCTTCCTCTCCTCTTCCTCCGCCCCGTAGGGGCCGTCAACAAACATTACTCAAGATGACTGACCCTGGGGAAAACAGAGTCTAGGGATCGTTCCCCTCGGGACTCCTTTCCACCATGGCGAAGGAGTCCACAACAAATCGATGGCCCAGCACCCTAGGCTGACCTGAGCAAGCCAAGGATTGTTGAGGCCAGCTGAGGCCGGCGTGTATTACCCTGGGGGCCCGTGGAAGCCAGCATGGACAATGTATGGGGCTATCTGCTCGCAGCCCAAGGCCTTCCAGTCTGCATAGCTCGTGCGCCGAGCCTTGTCCTGCGTTGACTTTCGAGGACGACGACGGCGAGACGACGCAGCCAACGTAATTGAAGCGCTGACTCAGTGCTGGCAGCGACCACAGACCATTCCAGACCGAGATATTGAAATGAATCGCAGTTCGACAGATAATGTTCTGGTCTGCGGTAGTGGGACGATCGCAACGCGATTGAAGCGGCAACCAGGAGCGGCCGAGACTCTTGCGACGATCGCAACCAGGATGTCGCCATCGGCAACCAGAGCCGACACCTACGCACTCAGGCACGAGGAAGGGCAGAGCAAACCCAAGCTGCAAGGGGGCACGCAGGGCCGTGAGGGACGCCACAGGCGCGACGACGCCACGATGAGGGGGAGGAGGTGGAGGGGGAGGATGTCGATGGGGGAAGCAGGAGGTGGAGGAGGGGGCGGAGCAGCAGGAGGAGGCTGAGGGAGCCCGTCAGAACGACCCCACGATGCCCACATGCCGGAGTCCGCCGCGCCTGAAGAGCACCTGCGCCTCCGCCTCCGCCTCCTCCCTGGACATGGGGCCCGGGTTGAAGGCGAAGCTCGCAGACGGCACACCCTCAGGGCGCACGATCACCTTCGGGGGGGGGGGGGCGGGGCCACCGCTGGCCAACGGCGGAGAAACTCGCTCGGATGCTCTCCCTGCGCTGGCTCGCGGGCCGTGGCGGCGGATGACGGGGAGGGGGACGGTGAGGACGGTCATGCCGCTCATCCTGCTGTCGCTCCTCGTCCCTCGCCTCCTCATCCTCCTCCTGCGCGCCGCCCTCGCTGCTCGATCCATTCTTGACCCTGCTCCTCCACGTCGTGCCTGCTCCACCGTCGATGCCAACCAAGCGCGGATAAGAAACCCGCGGTCCAGCGCAGACCGCGGGAACGACTGACTGGTCGAATATGTTTACTTGTCCTGCTCCAGCCATTTGTCTTTCCTGGGCTTCGCGGGTTCACCTGGAAACAGCCATTCCCGCTGGGAAGCACACGTCGCCGTTGCTGGCCCTCGTGGCCCTCGAAACCCGCTCCATTCACCAAAGAAGGTCTGCCAGGTACAACTCTGCTTGGCACGGCCGGCCTCTGGTTGACCTGGGTCCTCAACGAGCATATGTTCCATGTATCGGAGCAGCACGGCACTAGCCTCCTCTCCACTGTCGTGCCTGCCGCTATCTCCGTCTACGGTTGGGTCCGCGAGACATGGGGATATCTCAATCGAGAGGTCCCCGTATGCGGCCCTGCCCTCACAGCCTGCTGCAGGACGCCGCCGTGAAGTCGTGACAGCAGCACGCTCCTGAGAGCCTTCTCGGCAAAGCCTTGCAGCTTTGGAGTGAACTGGAGGCCGAACTGGCTTCTCTGGACGGACGCATTGGCCCATGGACGTGCGTGAGATGGGGACCCAGAATCATCGGAGCACTGGTGAATGATGAAGGCGCGCGGCCCCGTAATTCTCGCCTAGGAGGGAACGCGAATTGAACTGCTGCAACAAGTACCCGATCTCGACTCACGGCTAACCGGCTACACCCGCAATCAATTTGCATCGACCGCTCCAGACCCAAACGTATGGCGCATATGGCAACCCTGGCGTTGCGACAGCAGTAGGCCCTGGCCCTCGACGTCATCGCTGCTTCGGACTCCTCGACCCAGTTGACTACCTACCAGACCACCCCAACCCAACCCGAAGACCCGAATTTCCGATTGGGGGGGTACGGGTTCCATATGTGTTTTCTCGATGTTCCACGACCCCCCCCCACTGGAAATCGAGGATAAATTGGGGCCTTCGGTTTTTTTTTTTTTTTTTTTTTTTTTCACCCCTGATCCCCAGAGCCACCCCTGAACGTACCTGGTGCAGCATTAGGAGCCACACTCCCTTCGCCGCTGCGCTGTGCAGCGGCACCCAAAAGGGGGCGAAGACCGCGAGCATGCCAGCGGCCTCGCGGGCCGCCCTGGTGGCGCACGCCACGGGGCGGCTCCGAGGGCCCCGAAGCAACTGAAACATCATGCACAGCCAGAGAGGAGGAGGAGGGGGAGGAGGAAGAGAAAAATACAATCGCCTGGCTCCTCCAGGCATTGGCCACAATACGGTGCCTCCGAGCAGTGACCCTCAGACGAGCCTCAAAATGCTGCTCAACCGAGCCAGGGACGCCGAGACGACGGTTATTGTGGGACGCAACAAAAGCATCTATACAAACGGCAAACAGAACATTAGATGACATCGGAGACGGTGACAGCAGAAGGAAGGGGAGGAGCCAGGGAGAACCCTCAGGTAACCAAGACGACGAAATAAATAAGTGACCAAGCCAACGACGGAAGAGAGCAGCAAGACGAGGGCAACGACTGTAATGCTCGACGGAATCAAGATCCTGAGAACCATCATCTCGGCATCCCAACAGGCAACCAGCAGATCTGGCATGACATCTACGCGAGGAACATAGACCACGGCACAAGAAACGATATATGCCTACCAACAGATATGGTTGGGTACTCTCGACTAGGACGAACGAGTTCAGGAAGAAACGATCCATCATCGGAAGAGTTAGCTGAGGGAACCAGGCCGAAATCCGACGATAGAGAATACTGCGGGCATCTTCACGAGGGCCAAAGTGCTTAAGACAGCGAGCGAAAAGTAGAGCTTGGAGCTTGCGACTAGACTCATCAACACGCAACGGGATGCTCGTGTACCATTCATACAGCGTGCGCATATATGAAAGAAAGCTGGATTTCCACCAGCCGGTGCGAACCCGAACCATAATCACGTCATCGTCAAACTCGAGAGAAGATAGACGGGCGAACACTTCTAAAACAGCAGGGCGCCTCAAGATATACCTCAAGCATGTCGCTCGAGCCAGCGACGCCAGCTCAGGAAACTCAACTGGAAGATTAAGCTGGCGAAGCTGTGTACACATCGCATAACTGAATGCATTCCTCGGCCCAGCTGTGAGAAACATGACCGACTCACGATAGGCGTGAAATAGCTGCTTGCTTATGGGGTTGAGCTGGAGAATAAAGCCAAGCACGGAAACACACATGACACGGAAAGCAACAGCAGCACGGGTAAGACCCAAGCCCAGGCGGCGAGAGGTCCCCACACGGAGTCTGAACTTACGAAGAGCCTCCGACCAAACCTCAGAGGATCCCCGAGGACCGATACACATCCCAAGATATTTGACACAGTGAAGCACTTGAAGCCGTTTGATGTCACCCTTCAGAACTTTGACGGAGGACCGAACCCAGGAGATCTCAAGATTCCCAACCAGGAGTAACTGACATTTGTGATAGTTAAGACGAAGCCCCGCAATACGTTCTAGGTCTTCCAACTTGTGAAAGACGGGCCCCAGCGATGTAAATATATCAGGAAGACCGAAGCAGAAATCGTCCGCATATGCCAGCGAGAGCGATATGTGAGACGCAAGCGATGCTTGGACCCATCTGAGCAAAGGGTCAGCCGCCAAGACAAAAAGAAGCATGCTGGATGGGCACCCTTGCTTCACTCCTCTTCCCATGCAAATCCTCCCATGCCTCTTCCCTCCCAGTGCAATAGTAGCATACTGAGCTTGATACAGCAACGTGAAGAAACGAATAACAGCGGAACTGATGCCCATGCGGGTAAGCACGTGCAGAAGCCATTGCGTCGCGAGCGAGGGGAACGCAGCACAGAAGTCGGCCATCAAGAGGCCAGCGTTGTCATGACCTCGTGCATATTGTTCTAACCCCCAGGCTTCTGCCTCGACAATGTTGGCTACCATGTCCCTGGCGTGCACACACTTCTGGGCAGGCGAGATGAGGGAAGCGGAATTGGCAGCAAGCGGGATCGACATAATACCCGCTAGGATTTTAATGTCAGTGTTGCTCATGCTAAGAGGACGGGTATCTTGCGGACGACGGGAGACACGAGGACCATCATCACGATCATCTGAGCCTTTCGGGAGGAACACCATAAGACTGTGACACATATCAGCTGGAAGAGATTCGACGGTGCCGCGAAAGAAACATAAGTAGGCATCGTAAAGGGCACGGCAAGCGGGTTCGGCTCGCCAAGCACGGTAAGGAATGCCATCAGGGCCAGGCATGCTGTGGCATCTGGCGCGAACGTAGTCAACAAAGGTAGGATAAGGAACCAGCCACTCCATTGGAAGCTCCTCGGGTAACGGCTGAATGTGAGCAGAGACCTGAGGCCAAAGGGATTCGTCAAGTTCACAAGGAGAGAACACTCCAGCCCAATGATCCCGAAGAACTTCCGCAGACCGCTCCAAAGAGACACAAGGCTCCCCAGACTCCTCATAGATACAAGACACGGCGGCACGGCTTCGAAATCTCCTCCAGAGTTCCTGAAAACGAAGAACACGGGCTTTCAAGTTCTGTTTCGTCGGCCCAGGTGCATCAGAACGCTCAATCTCCTCTTGTTCCTGGTCCAGGAGCTGCATCTGGATGCAACGAATCAGGGCGCAAAGGCCCCGAATATTCGTGCACTCGAGCGTGTGAACGTTAAAGTGAGAAGACAACGTGGGGTAACACTTGAGCGCAGAACCAATCATCCATCCCTTCCTCAATCTGACTCCCCTCAGTGCAAACATCGCCCAGTGATGTTTCAGCTCTGAAGACGTAGCGACAGTGACCTTCAAAAGCTCGCGGATTTGCTGGGCAGCCACAAACATAAGAGCTTTGATCGCCTCCAAGCGGTCCCTCACGGAGAGATCCCTCGTGTGCGCATCAAATTCGACCACCAAGGCTTCAAGTAGGGAGGAGAAATCAGGATGTGCAGCGATGTGTTTGGGGATGGTGGGGAAGTCCTTGGCAGGAGTGAATGGCGACAGAGAGGCAAAGACAGGGATGTGGTCGCTCGGGGAGCGAGCTTGAAGGCGGCCAACAACACCACATCGGACATCGTAGTCCCTAAGATAGGCCTGTGGTAACGTGGTATATATCCGATCGAGACGAGCCGTGTGTCGAATGACGCCATCGCGAACCTCCCTCCTCGTGTCGGACTCCTGATACACCTCCGTAAGCGTCGGAAACATGCGGTGAAAAAGGCGAGAGTGGGCCCGATCGCCATGCGTCCATCCGCTCCCATCTCCTTGCATCCTCCCCTCTTCCTCCAAAGCAAAGTTAAAATCACCAATGAGCATACAATGCGCCGAGCCAGCCTCCTTGACTGCTGCTTGAAGAACACGCAAGGCAGCAGAGTATGTGGCGAGCGTGTCGCTCGTGTTGGGCATGTGAACGTTAAAGAGGACAAACGCACCAGAGGGGCCAATACACGTCGTTTGCAGAATACGACCAACAATAAGAGCCTGGTGGTAAATACGAGGAAAGATGACCGAGACCTGAGGGCCCAAGACAGTAACCACCCCACCTTCACGTTGAGAATCCTCGAAACCCGAGAAACCGATGTTGACTCCATGAGAAGCCCCATCCAGCTCCTTGCGGAGCTCTTCAATATCACCAATATGACCGTGAGTTTCCTGACCACAGACGATCTGAAAACGTCGAGAGAGGGCGAGGAATAACTGATACCTCGCACTGGCACGCCACGAGCCACAGCGCACGCTGCTAAAAAGACCGTGCGTGTTCCAGCTGCAGAGGGACAGTGGGCACTCAGGAGAGAAGGGAAGACAATTGGAGTGGGGAGGTCTATCGTCACCGATGTCATCAACAGTAGGAGAACCAGAGGAAGGAAGAGGAAAGCTGGAACGCGGCAGAGCAGGCGGCAGACAGCATTGATCATCGCCGAAAGGGCGAGCGCAGCATCACCGCGGCGGCAGAGCGGAATGCCTCAGCGTGCTGGTGAATGCCAAACTCCTCCAGGGCTGTCATGTCTAGGTCCAGTTCGACGGAGGCATCGTCCGAGACCAGCCGGAGAGAAGCAAGCACGACGGGGTCATCTTTGGCACGAAGAACGTAGATGCTGCCGCCGACGCCATTGCTGTTGACGTCGTATCCCCTAGGACGCAAGAGCTGCGTCATCTCGTGCCTCACCCTGCCCATGCTGAGGAAAAGTTGGCGAAAGCGAGCATCTACATCGCGACGAAGGCGAAGTGAGAAAGGCTGTTGACCCAGCGGGTCAGGAAACTCAAATTTGCCATCAGCTTCGAACCGCAGGAGGAAGTCGCTCGCCTCCGTCGCAGTCTCGAAGTGGAGAGAAATCTTACGAGTAAGATCAAAAGCTTTGATCACGATGCGAGCGTGAGAAGCCGAGGGCGAGTACTTGGTGCGGATCGCCTCCCCTATGGCCTTGAGCGTGGAGGCAAGCATCCGACGCGGGAAGCCCAGGACAATCAGCTTCGTGTGGTTGTCATTCGTCTGCTCCGTGCGCACAGTGCTCTCCACGCGCGTAGAACGTGTGGAGCCTGCCGAAGACAGAAAAGATAATTTCTCCTCAATGTCCGCAATCTTCTTCTGGACGTGAGAGCTAGCAGCAGAGGAGGAGTCAGAGGCAGCAATCGGCGTCGGCGAGCTCTCCAAGTCGCAGACCCTGGCATTCATCTTCTCGATGGAGTCCCGTAGGTCGGTCGTACATGCCGCGTGGATCCCCTCCATATGGGTGATGCGACTGTGGATGTCGTTGCCCATCGTTTGCATGTTTGTCGTGAGCTGGTCACAGCGCATTAGTTGCAGGTCCATCTGGGTCTTGAGCTTCGAGACTTCAGCAGAGCTGTTCGCCACTTGCTGGCTCAACCCTTGGAGCCCAGAGAGGATGAGGTCGAACTTAGCGTCCCGCGAGCTAGAGACCTCCCTGTTCGAGCGACTCTTGGAGCGAACCTCAGAGGAGCTGCCATCCTTCGATCGCTCTCGGCGGTTGCCTCGAGCACGGTTGCCAGAGGCAGGCATGGGAACAGGAGGGGACGAGAAAGAGTGGCAGTGCAAGTGTGAAGCTCCAGCTGCTGGAGGGGCCCTCGAGCCTTGAGCCAAAATGGCTACGGCGGGGCCTTCGGGTTGGGTTGGGGTGGTTTGGTGGGTGGTGACCAATCGTGTCCGTGAAGGTCCACGGGATCCCCTGGACGGAACAGAGTAGGAAGGCACCAACTATACACCAACACCGATTCTGGCCAGGATCACCCTGGGCCCAGGATCGGTGTATACGCCCTCCTGCCTTGCGCACGAAGGCATATACACCGATCCTGGGCCCAGGGTGATCCTGGGCCAGGATCGGTGTTGGTGTATAGTTGGTGCCTTCCGACAGAGACGCCCGCCGCGACCCTGCCGCGAGGCCCAGAAGTCACAGCATGCCAACCTTGCAGCGTGCATCGCCCTGGTGCGCCGTCGCCGTCCCCGGCAGAGATCCGCTCAAGACCGGCCCCACTCTTCACAGGAGAAGTGGCGGAGGAGGGGAGGAGGAGGAGAAGGAGGAGGAGGAGGAGGAGGACGGGACAGGACAGGACAGGACAGGACATCCGCATAATTAAGGGGGTCAACGTCGACACGCCCACAAAGGAGCTGTGGGGTACCCCTAGCAAAATCCCCTGCGAGTTGAGTATACCGCAGACCCAGACTTCTCATGCAGGAGGAGGAGGAGGAGAAGGAGGAGGAGGAGGAGGAGGAAGAGGAGGAGGAGGTGGAGGAGAAGGACAATCAGGAGCATCTCAAAACTGGTCCCCGGGGGCCCATCCTGACCAGCCTTTGCGGCCGCGTGCGGCCGTGCCCCGGCGAGGGGCCCGGTCAGAGGTCAGAGCGAGCTACGCCCGGGACCGAGCGTCCGAGGACGCTCTTGTGGGGGCCCCAAGAATATACAGTCGGGGGCTTGACCTAAGGAACCCAAGATAAGGAACGAGGGCCCTTTTTTCCATGAGTTAAACTTCGACTTCCGATCGAAAACATAAGGAAAGCCTGAGGCAAGCTGCGAAACACTTAAGGAACGCGGAGCCCATCCCCAACGAAAAGGGTTCCTTCTTCAGGGCCGCGACTGTACACCACCACTACGTCGATTCCTCCAATCTCCTCTATCCTCCTAGTCCTTTTCCTCTTTCCTGGGAGAAGGAGGGGGTGAGGGAGGTAGTGGTGGCGTGTATGTTTGGGCCCTGCATCTTAGGACACAAAAGAAGCACAAGGGACCCCGGGTTGAAAACTAGCAAGGGCGCAACTGGACCTTGGCCGCCCCGATACGAAACACGCAACCCGCTGCGTGTTGACACGGAACTCAACGCGTACATTGAAAACGTACGTCTGGCGTGACACATGTGCCAAAATGTGGACCAACAAGTTGAGCCAACACGCAGCGTGTGAACACGGACGTCTTGAACAGGGCACGTGTTGCGTTCCAAAACATGCGTATCGTGACAGCTAAGCGCTGCACTTTTTCCAGAGGCCCAGACTGCGAGGACGAGGAGGCGGACGAGGAGGATGTGGAGGCGACCTCGTCTACCAGAGGCGCGGACAGGTGGCCTGCCCAGCGGGCCACGAGTCTGGAGCCGCACTCGGCGCGACGGCGCTCTGCAGGAGCGCCTGCGCGCCGCACGCGTGCTCCAGCAGCGCGGGGAGGTCGTCCGTCTCCTGGGGTCTTCTCTGCTTTTGTGTGGTCGCGAAGACGCTGGACGAGGCGGGACTCATGCCTCATGCCTGCCTTCCCGGCGCAGCCCATCAAAATCCAACTCCTTCTGTGCAGAGCCCGAGTTTCCCTCTGCCTATCCTTCCCGCCCCCATTTCAGCGGGGCTGAGGGGAGGGAATAAGAGAGAGAGAGAGGGAGCAAGAGAGAGAAAGAGAGAGAACTAAATAAAGACAACAAGACAAAAAGGTGGAGAGATACCAGTACGGATAATACTTGCACACATACAGATGCATATGACAATGATGAAGAGGGGTAGGCACGTACGTGTACACATATATATATATATATATATACACATATATATGTATATATATGCATATACACATATATATATACACATGCATATATATATATATATATATATATATATACGTATGTAAAGAATTATGCGTATATGTTTCTGCAGTTTATAAAAAGCAAATATTAACTATGTATGGGCAACATTAAATATGTACACGCGCATACGTACATGAACACATGTAGACTTGTATGTATATACATACATACATATATACATATTTATAAACATATATATTTATGTGTAAATATATGTATATATACATATATATACACACCTATATACGTCTAGTATGTAGGCACTAAGAGGGGAGAGAGTCATAGAGATGGACAACATCGTTTTCCAACACAGCGTTTGCACTGCAAATTTCTTATTTCTCCCCGAACTGGGCTGGTCTGCCGGTCTGGCAGCTATGTTGCCGCTGTCGCCGCCTCGTCAGCGCCCCGTCGCTGCCGAACGATTGGGCCTGTCTGCCGGTCTGGCGGCTATGTTGCCGCCGTCGCCGCCCCGTCGCTGCCGCGCCGCCGCACATCATCTAGGCCTGTCTGCCAGTCTGGCGGCTACGTGCCGCCGTCGCCGCCACCAGTCGCCTGGGCCTGTCTGCCGGTATGGCGGCTATGTTGCCGCCGTCGCCGCCCCGTCGCCGCGCCGTGGCCGCCTCGTCCCCGCTTTGTCGCCGCCTCATAGGTTGCGCCACATTGACTGCACTGCACAACAAGAGTGGCACAGCATAGCTTGCAACACGTGCGCAACATAGATCGCACCACGTGATATGCACCACGTCCGTTGGAACAACATAGAATGTAGAAAGACCTTCGGCTCCGAACCGTTCCAAAATCAAGTTGCAAAAACATATATGCAAAAACACAAGGTTTCGCAACACGGATTTTTGTTTTTCAAACTTGCGCGCGCGCTTTTGCGCCATTTTGCGAAAACCATCGGTTTCTCAATATCCCCCCCTCAACAAACAAAAACTACCAAACGGGGTTCGCGCACGCGCATGTCGAAATCTTTCGAACGCCCTTGCGCGCGTGCCGTCTCGAGAACCCTGTGCAACAAATACAACGAAGTGAGCACGCGTGCGTCGTCGCGCGCGAGTGCCAAAATCCAACAAAAACTTTCGGTGTTGGGAGGCTTTCAAAATCGTGTCAAAAAACATACACAAACACAAGATTTCGCTACACGGGCTTTAAACAAACGCGCGCGCGCTTTTGCGTCGTCGTCGTCGTCGTCGTCGCTGTCGTCCCTCCTCCCTCGTCGTCGTCGTCGTCGTCGCCGTCGCCGTCGTCGTCATCTGTTTTTCGTCGTCGTCGTCGTCTTGGCGTCGTCGTCGTTTCCGTCGTCGTTGTCGCCGTGGTCGTCCTTCCTCCCTCGTCGTTTTCGTGGGCGTTTCGTCGTTGCCCCTCCTATTTCTTAGCCGTCGTCGTCGTCTTCGTCGTCGTCGTCTTCCCAACTCCCTGGTCGTTGTCGTCGTCGCCGTCCTCTTCCCTCCTCCCTCCTCGTCGTCTTCGTCGGCGACGTCGTCGTCGTCGCCGTCGTCGTCGTCGCCGTCGTCGTCGTCGTCGTCGGCGTCGTCGTCGTCGGCGGCGTCGTCGTCGGCGTTGTCATCGTCGTCGTTGTCGTCAACGTCGGCGTCGTCGTCGTCGGTGTTGTCGTCGTCGATCTCTTTGGAGACTCGCCCGTAACGTCTACCGTTGTCTACGTTGCCATGATACCGCGCCCGCCCAAGTCGCGACTCGCTATGAAGTGCCCGCTGGTACGCGCCCAGCGATCAGCGCCACCGTGGCCGCGTCGGTCGCGCAAGACCAGCTGGCCGCTGCGCGCGCGTGTCTGGGTTGGCGCGGCCACGGAGACGCACCAGCCAACGCCGAGCATGCATCGCAATCGCCACCCTATGGGTTTTGCAAACCAAGTTGCGGGTGGGTGAGCGGGAGGTTTGCAAGCGCACGGGATGTGTCAACTCGTTTGTCAAAAACATCTGCCACCACATAGATTCTCCTTTCTAGGGGGAACATAGACCCCCCACCGCAGTTAACGGGTCACCCTTTCGTATTGCAATTTACATACGATTCAGCCCGATTGTCCATCCGAGCTATGAACTCATATCTTCCCAGCCAAACCGGTATCGACCCCCCCATCCATCCCATGCAATCATACCAGAGAAAAGCCCAATCATATGCTTTTAAAGGCTGTAAGGCTATAGAGCAAGGGCTACATGGTCTCTTGGGCGCTATATGGGCTACATGGCTATATGGCCATATGGACTATAGGGCTACAGGGCTACAGGGCTGTAGGGCCCGGCAGCCGAATCGGCGGCAAACCCGGGCACCCGGGCGCCCGGGCCCGGCCACCGACTCGGCGGCGCGCCTCACCGACCCTCCATTGAATTCGCTAGGACCCCTACAGAGGCAAGCTCTGGTTGGGGAAGAAACCGCGCGCGCACTTCTTCATCTTAAGAGAGCAAATTGCACGCGTCCATTGCAAAAAAATCATCGCGCGCGCGCCCATGTCAAAATCGAACCGCGCACAATGTGTTTGCGAGCGCTTCAGCGTAAAGACCTACAAAAACCAAGGGTTTTGCAACGTCGTGTGTTTGCAAATGTCCTGTCCGCGCGCTCATGCTAAAATCATGTAAAAATCACAGGGCTCTTATGAATCCCGCCAAATACAGCGAGTGCATGTCACCGCGCGGTGCACCCGCGACGCCCCTGTCATGCGCCGAGGGCGCGAATCCCTTGCCGGAAACACAACGCGGGCCACATGCCCGCACCGCAGCGCGCGCATGATCAGTCTGACGGATTTGTTGAACTTCCGCGCGCGCGGATTTCCTTTGCAACCTTGGCAGCATCACCGCGATCACCTCCCTCATCGACAGATGGATATCAGCATCGTCAACGTGTTTGCCATCATTGGCGCCGTTATCTTTCGGGCCGTCGCCCTCTTGAACATCGTCGTCGCCGGTGCTAACTTCGTCATTGTCGCAGACGTTGCCGACGTCATCTTGTCATCGCGCACGTCCGAGTATCGTCGATCCGCTCACCTTCATCATCGACTCACGGCGACGAGCATCGGCAGTGAGGATGTTATCATCGATGTCGTCATCGGTGGCGCCGCCGTCCCCCGAATCATGAGTTTTGCCAAACAAGTTGCGGGTGGGAGGGTGGGGTGTTTGCACGGGCAGCGGGGAGGACAGCTTCAAGCTAAGCAAGTGATTCATTGAACGACATTGACTGCACTTCTGGCGTTGCACCCCATAGATTGCACCATCTCGGTTGCTGCACACCACCAAGGTTCCATAACGAATCGGCAACGCAGCATGCATTCCACATCGTCAGCTGCACCATCTAGACTGCACAACACGTAGTGCACCACATGTAATGCTCCACGCTGATTGCACAACAGAGCTTGCACCATACATATTGCGCAACCTAATTTGCACAACAAAAATTGCACAACGTTTATGATCCAATATTTACTGCACACCATATATTGGCCCACGTCGGTTGCACAACACAGATGCTCCACACCACTCGCACAACATAAAGATCACCACAGACATTGCACCGCTCTTGGGGGCCTGGTGGCGGCTTGTTGGCGGCCCCGGGGGCCACCTTTGGGCGGAAGGCTCGAACATTTAGCTCGGGCTCCCCCTCTTGGGCCCATCTTGGGGCGTCTTCGGGGCTTCTTGATCCGTCATGCGGCCCTCTTGGGCCGTCCTTCGGCCCTCTTAGAGGCCTCTTGGGCAATCTTGGGGCGATTTGTTTGGAGACCTCTTGGGCCGTCCTGGACCGCGTTGAAACCAAAGGGGCGAATATGCTAAACATCTTCTCTCGCCCAGAAAAGTTTGTGGACTATCGAAGCTCTCATGGAGATCCTGTAGGAACGGACTTGAAGCGTCGTGGACGCCTCTCTCTGGAGCCGCCGTGGCCGCGGTCTGGGGTCGATCAAAGAAAAATGACTGGAATGTGGGCCAGAGGCCTGGTAGAGGTAACTATCTTGGGTTATCGTTGGAAGTCTCGCGGAGCCTGGTTGGGGGCCTCTTGGGGGGGTCTACTGGGGGCTTCCCTGGGGCCTCCTGGGGTCTCTTGGGGGCCTCGTTGGGGACCCTCTTGTGGGCCTCCATGGGGCCTCTTGGGGCCTGTCGGGGGCCTGTTGGCGGCTTCGGGAGCCATCTTTGGGCGGAAGGCTTGAATTTTTAGATCAAGTTCCCCCTGTTAGGCCCATCTTGGCGCCCTCGTGGGGCGTCTTCGGGGCTTCTTGATCCGTCATGTGGCCCTCTTGGGCAGTCCATGGGCCCTCTTGGGGGCCTTTTGGGCAACCCCATAGCGGTTTGGGAGATGTCCTGGACCGTCTTGGAGCGTGTTGAAACCAAGCAAGGAAGTATGCTGATCAGAAAGATGTTCCAAATGAATGGGACAATTGTTGCTTCTCGGAGCTTGGGGGTCCTCTTGGAGCGGTCTTGAAGAGTCGTGGACGCCTCATGGTCCGTTTGGGGTGCATCATGGGCCGACGGAGCCCCTGGAAGGCGTCGTGGGTACGACTCAGGGCCGATATGGCCGCCGTAACGGGAGTCTGGTGGCTCTCAGAAGCAATTGTGGGCGCCCCACAGGCAGGCATGCCTCCTGGTTTCCCCCATCTGCGGTCGGGGTCCCAGACCAAGGGCCCCCGGGCCCGGTCTCCCGGTAAATGTATGTATGCGTATGTATATATATGTATATATATATACAGAGGGAGAGAGAGAGAGAGAGAGAGAGAGAGAAAGAGAAAGAGAAAGAGAGAGAAGGGGAGAGAGATCAACCTACACTTACCCGAATGTGGCACTACTGAACGCGGGCGGGAACCGGCGTGGTTGCTTTTGTTGATGGGGCCGGTCCCCACTGAGGAACCCCCCCGCCTTCATTAGAAGCCCCGCCTTCCCTCACCCCAAACGCTGGCCCGCTTTCGCTAACCTCATTCCCGTGAGAATAAACACTAGGGGATAATAAAGTTCGGGGTTCAGGGAGAGATAATAAAAGTAGCCCAGCAGACCTCAGCATAATCTCGAAGTAAGAGGTGATCAAGAGGAGACCAAGCCGAGCACGTTTTGAGACATCCTTGGCGTTTAGTTTTCATAGAAATATCCTCAACAATGGCTTATCTCGCTGGAGACATCCTCGACAAATCCCTTGTTTCGCTTGAGACATCCGCAAACTATTGCTTATTTCGCTTGAGACACAGTCAAACTGTTGCTTATGAACATTGTTTTTTGTAAGTGCTCGTGTAGGGTAGCTCATGTGCCTCAATTCCCATGGATAATCAACCCCAGAGATAAAAAAGTTCAGGCGAGCGTGGGGACAGAGAGAAATACAAAAGAAGAAGAATACAGTAGAATAATAATAAGAAAGAAGAAGAAGAGGATAATAAGAAGAGGACGAAGAAAGGAAAAATCCAAAGTTCCAAATTTGACAATTTTAATTTACAAACGCTTTATGAAAATTGTTGTTTTTAAGTGCTCGTGTAGGGTAGCTCATGTGCTTCATTTTCCATGGATAATCAACCCCAGGGATAAAAAAGTTCAGGCGAGCGTGAGGACAGATAGAAATATAAAAGAAGAAGAGGAAAGTAGAATAATAATAAGAAGAGAAGAAGAAGAGAAGAAGAAGAAGAGAAGAAGAACGGAAAAATGGAAAGTTCCAAATCTATCAATTTTAATTTACAAACGCTTTATGAAAATTGATTTTTTTAAGTGCTCATGTAGGGTAGCTCATGTGCTCCCCTTTCCATGGATAATCAACCCCAGAGATAAAAAAGTTCAGGCGCGCGCGGGGATAGATACATATATAAAAAGGAAGATAAAAATATAGATAAAAAACTTGCTGGTTTAGCTTGAAACATCCTTGGGACATCCTTGAAACATTGCTCGTTTCGTTTGAGTCTGCCTCCCAAAATTATTGGTTTCGCTTGACACATCCTGAAAAAGTGTGATCGCTTCGCTTGATGTTGCTATATCAACATCGCTTGATGTTGCTATCTCAACATAGCGTTTCGAGGTGATAATGAAGTTCGGCCTCAGCGCTCGCCGCCCAATTTGAATTTTGTATAGGGCGACGATAATCAACTCTAAACACTGAAGGGGGGGGTCCCTTTATTATCATCGGCATGCGGTTACTTTGCCCTACCCCATCCCCGTCCTCGGGGGTGGACACAAGCCCCTTTGGCCAAGATCCATCCAGCGAAAACCATCCAGGACCAGACCCGGCGGGGGGCGCAGGCCCGCAACAGTTGCGGCCGCAAGACCCTGTAGAAAAGCGAGTAACGGCAAACCGCTAAACGACTTGACAAAATGGGGGTTTCTGTCAGTCTCGGGTCCCTCAAGAATAGGATCCAGGAGATCGGCAAGCCTTATGTTGTCCCCATCGTACTTACGGACCACATCCCAGAAATAAATTCGAGCACCCGGAGAAGTGCTGAAAGAGTGTCGAAAAAGTGTCGGACGAGTGTCTCCCAGGGCCCGACATGTGAAAACCCTCGAGTTTCGGTACTTTTTGGGGGCTCGACATTCTTTCTGGCGATCAATGCTAAAATAGGTTGGAACATCATATGGCAAGCCGGTAGTCGTCATCTGATCCCAGCTCTGCTGCAGTGTGCAGCGAAATGGATCGGCGTGCGCGACAGGGCGCGGCCCTGTGCTGCCCGCGTTGTCAAGCATCTGGCTGGGGGTCCCACACTGTGCCCACACGGAGACACCAGGGCTAGCTGGGCCAGAGTGCCCGCAATGCGGACTCCTGACATCATCAAGCAAGGAACAAAAATAATGCCGGAGAAGGCAGAGGAGGATAGCTAACGACGACGGCGACGGCCCCGCGCCTGCTGCACGGGGTTTGGCGGCCTGCACGTAGTCGCGGCCTTGGCCTCTGGCTCCAGGAGGCCCCCGAACAGGCGCCTGCCGCGACGCGTGTCGCGGGCGCTGGCCCCGGGACTTCTGGCGTCGTCAAAAGACATGGCGACGGCAAATCATCGAGGGCTGTCGAGACTCGAGGACTGGACTGTTTGAGTGCGCTGGTGTGCCTCTTCTGGCTATCTGGAGGCTTCCCGTGGCCACTGCTGCATTACCGTCGGAATCCTGGCCAAAACTCACCAGGACAAGTCCACGGGTCGGCAATTGAGGCTGCCAGTCCAGGCGTCGCAATAAGAATCTTACGACGGGTGTCCTCCTCCTCCTCCTCCTCCTTCCTCGTCCTCCTCCTCTCCTTCTCCTCCTGGTCCTCCTCCTGGTCCTCCTCCTCTTTATCCTCCTCCCCCTCCTCCTCATCCTCCTCCTTCTTCTCCTCCTCCTCCTCCTCCTCTTTCGCCTCCTCCTTCTCCCTCTAGTCCTCATCCTCCTGCTCCTCCTCCTCTTTCTCCTCTTCCTCCTCCTCCTCCTCCTCCTCCGCCCCCTCCTCCTCCCTCCACCGCCCGCCCCTGTCCCGAGCCTTTGGCAGGACCATCAACTCGGCGTTGTCGTTGTCGCCGTGATCGTCGTCGTCGTCGTCCTTCTGGGCCGGCGGCACCAACAGCAAGGCTTTCACAATGTTTTTCGGGCGCTGGGGAAATGAACAGAAACGCGCGGCGACGAAAAATCCGGTCGGGAGCCCCAGGGACCCGCCGCGTGAAAACGCCACGAGGCCGGATAACGCATCAAGATGACTTCTATTCAACGACTGCGATGCTTACCTATACCCAATCCTTGCTCGAATAACCACGGTGTCCTTCCGCTTCAGTGTTCAGCACTGCTGCCCAGGGAAGCACATAAACAAACACATGATCGGGCTGCGTAGCAATTGCGTCGCCACCGCAGAGAAAAAGGTACTACGCACAGTGCGTTTTCAGAGGATGACGGGGAGGAGACAGTCGAGAAAACAATCCTCTGTAGGTGTTCCAAAAGTGCTCGAGCGACCAAGTGTGTACCCATGCTGTACGGCACGTGTCCATATCGAGCAACTCGATCACCTCGATAACTCACATATGCGACGCTCGTCGAATCGTAGGAATCGACCCTATGAGCATCATGTCTGATGGACCACCATCTTTGGATAGTCACTCGATTGCAAATCCAACATGGCCCTCGAGGAAGAGACCCATCGCAGCTCCCCAGATGCCGCCAAGAGGGCCCGAGGCCCAGAGATGGTCCACGACGTCTCCAAAAGGCGTTCCCAAAACAGCGCATGAGGCTTCATGGCCCATGCCAGCCCCAGGGACCCCCAATATTGTCTCGGCTGGCACAGGGACCAAGAAGTGAGCAAAAGAACAAACCCCCCAAAAGAAATTGTGTCCAATGTATTTCTGCAACCGCTTGGGCAAACCGCAAGGCAACCGCTTGACCCAAATCTGACTCAACGTTTGGCCACGAAGGCGTTGCCGAAGAGGGGGGGGGATGGCGGTGACTCGATGGCGGCGTCGTCGATATGCGCGTGCATTCCCACGACCACATGTGCCACATGTGCCACAAACATAAGCCCGGCAATGTGTGCACACACTCACACACACACACGCACGCACCTACAAGTTAACATTCCCTGCACCACGGGGCGCCGCAGGAAACCGCATTCCGCCCCTCAGCTTGCCCGACGGAAAACACACATTACACTTAAACTTGGCAGCACCCATCGGTCGGAAGAAGTGGGTGGACACATGAAGTAGGACATCGTTGAAAATAGATGTGGCTTCCGCCTGGGCCCTGAAGAGGAGAAAAGAGGGATCACTCGACTCGTGAAGTAGGAAGGCGCCCGAAGTAGATTGGAATCCGAAGCTCCAAACATACCTACTTTCAACGACCGACGGGTAACGTTGCCTGCACCACGGGCCGCCGCGGGACGCCGCATTCCCTCTCTCAGACCGCAGGGCGGAAAGCACCAGTTGCACTTTTTGTCCCACGGAACCTCTCAGGAACAGCTCATCGTGAAATCTGCTGGCCCTCACGGGGACCATCCCGTACGCACGAGACACAGGCAAGCGAACGCAACGAGAGGCGTACATTGCAAGTCGTGGCAACACATCGCATCACAATGAGAAGGACTCGGTGGCAATCTGGCGCGTGAACAATGCTTGAGCCCGACCAGCACAGGGGGCGGAGGAGGAGGAGGATGAGGAGGGGGACGAGGACGAGGACGAGGAGGAGGACGACGAGGAGGAGGACGACGAGGAGGGAGGAGGAGAAGGAGGAGGAGGAGGAGAGCCCCCTGGGGGAAGTGAGAGGGAGCGGCGCCTGGAAGGCATGCGGCTCAGCGCCGCGTGACCGGGCATCTGGCGATGCCTGGCCGGAGGGCGAGCGGTGGAGCACAGATCCGCCGACCCTGTCGGCGTGTGTGAGGGGCTTCTGTTCGATGACTGCCCACCGGGCCACCCCATCCCAGCCCGAAGGCTCAAGTTTCGGGCTTGGGGGGAAGGGTTCCATACGTGATGTTTTCAATGTTCCCCGGCGCCCCCCCCCCCCCTCCCCAAGGAATGAAGGGCAGATGGGGGATTCAAGTCGTCGTCTCCGTCAGTCGTCGTCTCCGTCGTCGTCCGCTTGCCTGTACCCTCCTTCGCAAGCCCATCAGCGAGAGAAAACTCGAGCAATGCCGTAATCGAGTCGAAAGGAAGCCCCTGACCTTTAATTCCTCCCCCGTCGGGGGGGGGTCCAGTAGGACCCTTCGATTGTGCGACGACAATCAGCGCATTTTTGTTCTGCAAGCATTGATAATCCCTGATGGAATCTTACTGTGTTCGCATTGCTGTCGATTGTATGCCTACCAGTGGAAAAGAAGGAGGGAAAACGGCGAGGAAGTCCTATTGATTTCTCGTTGCAATCCTATTGCGCGTGTATTCAAAAAGGAGAGGGAGGGAGGAGGAAGAGGGAGGGTGGAGGAGGGGGGAGGGGGGGGGGCGCAGAAGCTTATCAGGACAAAAAACAAAGCATGAAAACCACAAAACAACTGTTGTTCCCCACGTGTTTCGTGGGGTTCTGGTTTTCTTCCCTGCCGCGGCGCACCCGCGTCTCCTCACCTCCCCTCCTCCCTTTCTCCTTCTCGCAGCTCAGCTCAGCTCAGCACAGCACAGCACAGCACGGCACAGCACAGCTCACCGCACAGCAGCACAGCACAGCACAGCACAACGCCACAGGGGGTGCGCTGGGGGTGGGGGCCCTATGCGTTGTAGGCTCCCACGGCGTGGCAGGCGTGGCATTTCCTGGGCGCCGCAGGGGGTGCGCAGGGGGTGGTCTCTCACCGCGGCCGCTATCCGTGACGGTCGTCCAAGGCACAGCAGGCATGGCATATTCTCGACACCATAGGGGGTGCGCAGGGGGTGGTTTCTCACCGCGGCCGCTATCCGTGACGGTCGTCCAGGGCACAGCAGGCATGGAATATTCTCGACACCATAGGGGGTGCGCAGGGCGTGGTCTCTCACCGCGGCCGCTATCCGTGACGGTCGTCCAGGCACAGCAGGCTTGGCATATTCTCGACGCCATAGGGGGTGCGCAAGGGGGTGGTCTTTCACCGCGGCCGCTATCCGTGACGGTCGCCCAGGCACAGCAGGCATGGCATATTCTCGACACCATAGGGGGTGCGCATGGGGTGGTCTCTCACCGCGGCCGCTATACGTGACAGTCGTCCAGGGCACAGCAGGCATGGCATATTCTCGACACCATAGGGGGTGCGCAAGGGGTGGTTTCTTACCGCGGCCGCTATCCGTGACGGTCGTCCAGGGCACAGCAGGCATGGCATATTCTCGACACCATACGGGGTACGCAAAGGGTGGTCTCTCACCGCGGCCGGTATCCGTGACGGTCGTCCAGGGCACAGCAGGCTTGGCATATTCTCGACACCATAGGGGGTGCGCAGGGGGTGGTCGCCCACCGCGGCCGCTATCCGTGACGGTCGCCCACGGCACAGCAAGCATGGCATATTCTCGACACCGCAATGGGGTGCGCAGGGGTGGTCTCTCACCGCGGCCGCTATCCGTGACGGTCGTCCACGGCACAGCAAGCATGGCATATTCTCGACACCGTAGGGGGTGCGCAAGGGGTGGTTTCTTACCGCGGCCGCTATCCGTGACGGTCGTCCAAGGCACAGCAGGCATGGAATATTCTCGACACCGTTAGGGGGTGCGCAGGGGGTGGTCTCCCACCGCCGCCGCTATCCGTGACGGTCGTCCAGGGCGCAGCAGGCTTGGCATATTCTCGACAGCGTAGGGAATGCGCAGGGGGTGGTCTCTCACCGCGGCCGCTATCCGTGACGGTCGTCCAGGGCACAGCAGGCATGGAATATTCTCGACACCATAGGGGTGCGCAGGGGTGGTCTCTTCGCTATCCGTGACGGTCGTCCAGGGCACAGCAGGCATGGCATATTCTCGACACCATAGGGGGTGCGCAGGGGGTGGTCTCTCACCGCGGCCGCTATCCGTGACGGTCGTCCAGGGCACAGCAGGCATGGCATATTCTCGACACCATAAGGGGTGCGCAGGGGGTGGTCTCTCACCGCGGCCGCTATCCGTGACGGTCGTCCAGGGCACAGCAGGCATGGCATATTCTCGACACCATAAGGGGGTGCGCAGGGGGTGGTCTCTCACCGCGGCCGCTATCCGTGACGGTCGTCCAGGGCACAGCAGGCATGGCATATTCTCGACACCATTAGGGGGTGCGCAAGGGGTGGTCTCTCACCGCGGCCGCTATCCGTGACGGTCGTCCAGGGCACAGCGGTATCGGCGGGGCAGCGGCCACAAACATCAGCTCTCATCACTTCATCCATAATAAAGGATTGTGGGGTCCCTCGGTTGCGTAATTTTTCACATGGGCTAACAGGGACCAGCTAGGAATACCTGTGATTGTCTGTATGTTCATGGTGCAAGCGCTCCACACTTCAAATCCTCTTGCAGCAGCCTTTACACAAGAATTCCTTCTACGGCGACATTGCAAAGGGACTCTGAGTGTGGGGAATCTGCCATGGCATCCACAATTCGAACCCTCTCGTAGCAGCCTGTACACAAGGGATTCCTTGTGTGGCGCCCTTACGAAAAGGTTTTCGGGTCCCACGCAGATCCCAAAAAGACTCGCCATCACCTCGCTGCTTCTGCCGAGGTACAATGCCTCCTGGCCTTGTGTACCTCTGTTCTGCGAGTCTGCCACTCACTATTCGTACGATCGAATTCGATATCCGCCGTGCACCGTCTCTTCCAGAATTGCTGTCGCACGATTGTGGGCACACCTTATCTCATCTCTTGGAATGGGTTTGGTACGTCGCAAGGTGCTTTTTCAACGACTTGGATTTGGGTATTCTCGCCTGTTCCCCTGCCCGCCGCTTCAAGACGGCCCAGGAGGCCCCCAAGATCGCCCTAAGACAGCCAAAGCGGCCTCCAAGAGGGCCCCGAACAGCCCAAAAGGACCCCAAGATAGCAGAACAAACCTCCAAGACGGCCCCCAAGATGGCTCCAAGAGCGTGCCCAGACAAGGACCCCCCCGAACGTGCCCAGACAAGGCGAGCGTCCCAAAGAGGCTATTTAGATGGCCCCAGAGGGGGGGCTAAACGGTAGGACCCCCTCTGTTCACCGACACCCCCCACGACAGCCCCAAGAGGCCCTACAGTGCCTCCCAGAGAGCCCCCAGAGAGCCCCGAGAGAGCCCCAAGAAGCGCCCCGGAGGCCCCAACAGGCCCTTAAGAGGCCGCCAAGAGGCCACCAAGACGCCCTACAGGGCTCCCCAGAGAGCCCCAAGAGAGCCCCAAGATCGCCCCGGAGGCCCCAAGAGGCCCCTACGAGGCCGCCAAGAGGCGGCCCAGAGGCCGCCAAGAGGCTCCCCGATGCACCCAGGACGCTCCAAGAGGCCCCCAAGACCGCCAAGAGGCCGCCAAGACGCCCCGAGAGGCCTTCGGGAAGCTGCCAAGAGACCTCCGAAGAGACTCCAGCCGACCTCGAAGACCAGCCTGGGCTCGGCGGGCGGGACCACAGCCGTGGCCCCGCCCGCCGCCATCGCGGCCATCGGCGCGGCGCGGCGCCACCCCGCGGCAAGGGAGCGCCGGCGGCCACGTGGGCGCCCTGGCCGGGGCGGCGCGGGTATCCCTTCGGGGCGCGGCGGGCGACGCGCAGCGGCGCCCCGTATGCGGCAAGGGCGGCGGAGCCCGCCGCTCTCGCAGGGCGGAGGCCGAGGGCGCCGGCGGGGCCTGCGCGCGGGGCCTGCGCGCGGGCCCGGCTCCGCACACGGGCTGCGGGGGCGCGCGGCGGCCAGCGGGGTCCCCGCGGGGTCCAGGAGCCAGGAGGGCGCGGCGCTCTCCGCAGGAGAGCCGGGCCGACGGCCTGCGCGGAGGGCGTCCGTGGGCAACGGGCGGTGTTCGGCAGAGGGAAGGCGCCCGAGGGCCGCCGTCGCAACGAGAGGGCCCCAGCACGCCCATGACCGTTCGGCCCACAGAGCTGACCTTGCAGGAGGCGCACCTCTCCCGCCAAGATGCGGGCGAGCGGAACGACACTCGAGAGGAGCTGTGAGCTGGCGGTCGGCGCTCGGTGGTGACCTTTACCGCCCTCGAGAGCGCGACCCGTGGCTTCTCCCCACCCCGCCCGCCGCTCATCGTCGCACTCCTGGACAGCGGCGTGGCGCAGCCCCTCGTGGCGGAGGTCTTAGGAGAACGGGGCGTTTCGTGCGCGGGCGGTGGAACACCTCGAGAGATACTGATGCAACAAGGTCTTGCTGCGTAAGCCCTGGCCTGATGCAAGGAACCGGGTGTGCACTTCTTCGCGTGCGGTACGTGGCCTGCTATGGTCTCGATGCATGTCCCGGTGATTGTCTCGACGGCTGTCCCGGAGGTTGTCCGAATCTTTCTCGCGACGCTGGACCTGATGGTTGCCCCGATGGTTGTCCCGATGGTCGCCCCGAAACTTGGGAAGGAGGTCTTCCCGAGAATTGGTCCGATGATTGTCCCGATGGTTGTCCCATTCCGATGGTTGTGCCAGGGTAGTCCCGGGGTTGCCCCGATGGTTGTTCCGATGGTTGTCCATGGTTTGTTCTGATGGTTGTGTCGTAATTATGATGGTTGTCCCGATGCTTGTACCGATGGTTGTCCCGATGATTGTCGCGGCGGTTGTTCCGATGGTCGTCTCGATGGTCGTCCCGATGATTGTCCTATGGTTGTCCCGATGGTTGTCGTGATTGTTGTCACGATAATTGTCGCGATGGTTGTCCCGGTGGCCGTCGCGATGAATGTCCCGTGGTCATCCCGATGGTTGCCCCGCCCGTCCCCATGGTTGTGCCAGGGTAGTCAGGTAGTCCCCGGGTTGCCCCGATGGTGTCCCGATGCTTGTCCCAGGATTTTTCCGATGGTTGTGTCGTAGTTGCTCCGATGGTTGTCCTGATGGTTGTCCCGATGTTTGCCCCGATGGTTGTCCCGATGGTTGTCCCGATGGTCGTCCCGATGGTCCCGATGATTGTCACGACGGTTGTCCTGATGGTCGTCCCGATGGTCGTCCCGATGATTGTCTCTATGGTTGTCGCGATGGTCGTTACGTTGGTTGTCGCGATGGTTGGCCCAGTGTCCCGATGAGTGTCCCGTGGTTGTCCCGATGGTGTTTCCGATCATTACCTGCAGGGTGCTCTTATAGGAACGAGCATTGAAAATGTGGTGGGAAGGTCGGGTGGACCAATGTACACCCCGTGAAACGAGTACATGAACTGCACATGGAACGTCGAGACAAGCCATAAGCAGCCTGCAATGGGACATCGCTGCAGTCCTAATCGAACTGGAACTGATGCATCTGGATAACAATCTCAAACGCTTGCAAACATACGCTGGACTGCCCAATACTCATCCCGATCAGCCGTCATTATACCAGACCAGAACAAGCCCCTGCACGAGTCACTAGTCGCATCCTCTCGAAGTGTTTCCGTTCGGCGTGTTGCTAGGGCCAGGAACTTTTGGATAGCGTGTCGAGGTGGCGACCCCAGCGATACGCTGTGCCCTGCGAGCGGACAGCGTGTCGCTCCGCTCCGCGGGCGGGAGGCTGGAAACAACTCGGGACGCAGAAACTTGGGGGCTGGAGAATGGATTACGCGTCGCGTCATGGCGTGGTGGGCCAGAACCGGCGGAACGACAAACTACCCGAAAAATCCGGACCGTGTGTCCCGCTTAGACCGGCTTGAAGGGGAGCCCACGAGAGGTCAAGGGGGGCCACCGGACGCAGCACAGTTGTCCAGCCAGCGCCTGTCCTACCTGCTGGTGCCCGTTATACGCGAGCCCGTGCCCCAGCTGCGAATGACGAAAGCGACACTCCTCCGAAGGAACATCCAGAACAACAGACCAACGATGCACCCTGACACGTCCGCCGAGCCGCCGAGCCGCGCGGCCATTGGGCACGGCTGCCCCCCCCCCCCGTGCCTCCCCCTCCTGCTGCCCCCCCGCTCAGTACCGGCAGGGGCGGGCCGGGCCGCCGACTCCCGCCCGCTGCTTTTTTCCCCGGAGGGGGGTGCTGGCCGTGACTGCTCCCCCCGCCACAAGCTCGGGACGCTCTTGAAGGGGCCCTGGGACACGCAAAAAGATACACAAATAAAAAGATTCCCCATATTTTCCATATTTTCTATGTTTTTGTCTTCCCCCCCCCACACTTCCCATATTTTGCTACATTTTCTGTGGAATCGACGATTACTTGTGTCTGTGATTTGTCCCTCCTGAGCTCTGCAGAAGCAAGTGCGCTGCCTCTCCGTGGTGAGCCTGTAGATTGCCACGACCTCGCTCAGAGTGTCCTCCAGTGCCGACTGTTGGGCCTCGCGGGCGCAGCGGGGGAGGGCGCGCTGCGGGCTCCCCAAGCGAAACAGATGGAGCTGGACCCTCCCCTCATCCCCCCTTTTAGCCCGACCGCCGCCTGGGACCCATCCCCCGCTTCTCCGACACGTCGTCCAGGACCATTCCCCTCCGCCCCCTACCTCAAAGGGCCACTTTGTCCCTCCCCCCTGGGACCTGACCCTGCTGCCCGAACCCCAAGACCATACGCCTGACCGACTAAGTCGGCGCTCGCACTAAACCTTGACGCTGAGCAACACCTCTAACCTTAATGCCAAGCCCTCTTCTCTCAGTCACCACGCTCTAACCCGAACCTCTAAACCAAATCTATCCTCCAACGCAACGGCAGCCTAAACCTTAATCATAACCCTGGCATGCCCAGCCCGTACACCCTGACACCCACACCCTGCCAATCGAAACCTAAACCGGATCCTACACCCTGGCTCGAACACCCTCAGATGTCACAGATTCACTAGCCTCGAAATTGAATCCGTAACAAACTACGCATACTAACCCAATCCCTACCACCATGACTCTAAGCACGAGGCCGAACACCCCACCCCTAACCCATGAGAGCTGCCCCTAACTTCGGACACCCCAAACACTACCACCCTACTCCTGGCCCCAAGGCCCTTACCCTGCCCCTACTCCCGGCTCAAATTATCACCCAAACCCTGGCCAAAAACATGAATCCGAATGCCGGAACCAGAAGCGCCGGCACCCCGACCCTAACACCCCGCTCCCAAGCACTTGCCGAAACACACGAACACACGAACATCCGAGCGCCCGCTAACCCTAAACCCAACCGCCACACCCTAACCAATGACCCTACTACCCTGAAGCCTCGAACTCGAACCGCCCAAACTAAACCCCGATCGCCAACCGAACGCCTACACCCCGACCCCGATCCCTGACGCCCCAAACCCCCTCCAACGCCAGTCCGAATGGGGAGAGTTCACAGCAGACCCCGCTGAAGGGTGGGAGTGCCGCCGCACCCTAACCAATGACCCTACAACCCTGAACCTTCGAACTCGATCCGCCCAAATTAAGCCCCAATCGCCACCCCAACGCCTACACCCCGAAGCCCGCGAGAGCTCACAACCGACCCAGCTGAAGGGTGGGAGTGCCGCCACACCCGAACCAATGACCCTACAACCCTGAGCCCTCGAACTCGAACCGCCCAGACTAAACCCCAATCGCCAACCCAACGCCTACACCCCGACCCCAATCCCCGACGCCCCAAACCCCTTCCCACGCCAGTCCGACTGGGGAAAGCTCAAAGACGACCCTATTGAAAGGGTGGGAGTGCCACCGCACCCTAAAATAAAACCCTACAACCCTGAACCCTCGAACTCGAACCGTCAAAACTAAACCCCAGTCGCCAACCCAACGCCTACACCCCGACCCCACCCGCCGACGCCCCAACCCCCCTCCCACGCCAGTCTAAACGGGGAGAGCTCACAACCGACCCCGTTGAAGGGTGGGAGTGCCGCCACACCCTAACCAATGACCTTGGAACCCTGAGCCCTCGAACTCGAACCGCCCAAAATAAACCCCAATCGCCGACCCAACGCCTGCACCCCGACCCCAATCCACGACGCCCCAACCCCCTTTCCCACGCCAGTCTGACTGGGGAGAGCTCACAACCGACCCCGTTGAAAGGGTGGGGGTGCCGCCACGCCCTAACCAATGACCCTACAACCCTGAGCCCTCGAACTCGAACCGCCCAAACTAAACCCGAATCGTCAAACCAACGCCTACAACCCGACGCCAATCCCCGACGAACCCCCTTTTCCTACGCCAGCCCGAACGGGGACAGCTCACAACCGACCCCGTTGAAGGGTGGGAGTGCCGCCGCACCCTAACCAATGACCCTACAACCCTGAACCCTCGAACTCGAACCGCCCAAACTAAGCCCCAATCGCCAAACCAACGCCTAACCCCGACGCCAATCCCCGACGCCCCAACCCCCCTCCCACGCCAGTCCGAATGGGGAAAGCTCACATACGACCCCGTTGAAAAAGTGAGAGTGCCGCCACACCCTAACCAATGACCCTACAACCCTGAGCCCTCGAACTCGAACCGCCCAAACGAAACCCCAATCGCCAACCCAACGCCTACACCCCGACCCCCATCCACGACGCCCCAAACCCCCCTCCCACGCCAGTCTGACTGGGGAGAGCTCACAACCGACCCCGTTGAAGGGCGGGGGTGGGGCGGGTCCACGAGCCCCCCCCTCCACTGAACTGCCATTATTTCGCGCTGGGCTCCCGTCTTGATGTTCCACGACGCGGGCCACCGGAGGCGGGCGCTCCATTGCTGTGCCCAAGGCGACCCCGCCATGCAAGAACGTGCTCCTGAGCATGTCGGGCTCCGGCGGGAAGCCGTGGCCACATAGGGAGCGCGGGCGAAGATGGTATTCACAACTGCGGTGTTCACAACTGCATATGGTCGGGTCCTCCGCCAGGGTGATTTTCCATGACGCGGGCCACCGAAGGCGGACGCTCCCTTGCTATACCCAAGGCGACTCCGCCAGTCCAGACAACGTGGTTTGCGTGCGCCTCGAGGCGCCGAGGTCCGGGCGGCATGAGGGGCGGCGCCCTCCCTCGCGCCGTGCGGGACGCGCGCACACGGACTCTCGCCTTCCCCTGGTGAGCGTTTTCTCTGATTCGGCGATTCGACATTGCGAGGAAAGTGGGGGGGGGGGGGCGGGCTCTGGCTCCGACCTCTGCTTCGTGCGACGTTTTGCAGCAGGGCGCCCTGTAGGGGAGGCTCCACTGGCTCTCGCCTTCCCCTGGCGAGCGCTTCTTCATATTGTTTAAAAAAACTATGCACATGCACAGATTCTGGCCTGGCCCATCCTGAGCCCAGGATCGGTGCATACGCCCTCCTACCTTGGCCAGGAAGGCATATGCACCGATCCTGGGTCAAGGATGGGCCTTGCCAGGATCGGTGCATGTGCATAACTCTCTTCGCCCGGTTATTCTGCGATTCGACATTACGAGGAAGGGCGACGCCCTCCCTCGCGCCATGCGGGACGCGCGCGCGGGCTCTCGTCTTTCCCTGGTGAGCTTTCCTCTTCTTCGGCGATTCGGCATTGCGAGGATCGGCGGTGGACAAACCTCCCTTCAGTAAACCTCCCCGTTAGTGATAGCGGCCTGGGACCGAGTCCGACGGACCTGGACCCGCAAAGATGACGGCCGCGGCGCCCCCTCGCGAACCGAAAACGGCCAATCCACAAATCGACGTGTCAGGGTAGGAGGTCTATCCACCCCCGAGAGGAAAAGGGGAGGGGGGGCGGGCGCTGGCTCCGGACCTCTGCTTCGTGCGACGCTTTGCAGCAGGGCGCCCTGTAGGGAGGCTCCACCGGCTCGGAGCAGGCGCCCAGAAAGAGCCAAGGTCTACCCCATGGAGGGGGGGGGGGGAGGGGGGCGTACGGGGGCCAGCGCCGATCGGCGGCGCAGGGAATGGGGAAACGACCGCCCGCCTCTTCAGCTGCTTCCTCCCGTCCCTTCGCCTCGCCTCCTGTGCGGGCCTCGCTTCGCCTGGGGCGCGCGCCACGGCCGCTCCAACCGGCTCGGACCCTGCCCGCGCCCGCGGACCAGCACGAGGCATCCTGCTTCGAGCTATGCCCGCCCAGGGACGCGAGGCGGGGCACCGAGGCAGCGCCCGCGTGCGTTTGGGGCTGGTGGCCGCGGCGTGCAGTCGCCACTCGTCGAAGGCACGAGGCGGGATGCCCAGGGAACAGCCGCACACGTTGGGCACGTCGGCCGCAGCATACAGGGTGTGCGGGGCGGGTCGGGGGCCTGTTCTGTTCGGTCTAACAGGCCCGGCCTGTCGGGTCGGGAATTACTAAAAGACGCTGGAGGTCGGGAGGGGGGGCGGTGTCTGGCGGACCCTGACCGCCCTCACGGCTGACCTTGACCGTGCATCCGAGCCGTGCCGCGCAGGCTACAGAAAGAGCACGACCACGCGTGAAGCAAACTCGGGTCGTGACGACCCGTGCGCTGGCTCCTGACACTGCGTGGATCGGTGGATCTTGAACGATCGCGGTCTGCCGAGATCGCAGATCTTTCGATATCGCCCGATTCTAAGTCACTGGCGGCGTTCAGCCGTGAACGCTCGCGACGAGTTCACCGCCGCGTTGACGTGGCGCGAGCCTGCCGTAGCAGAACAGAGGGAGTTGGAGGTGAGGGAGACGGGGCAAGGAGCACGCGCAAGGGGTTGGCGACGGATCGCTCCCCACAGCCTCCACCAGCTACTCCACATTCCAAGGTATTGGCCTGAGACTTGTCCCCAACCCACCTGCTAACCGTTTGGCTGCCTGGGACGGTTTCGGCCGAGTTTGTGTCTTGGGCCCTGGTGGCATACCAGCTGTCATGACGCTCAATCAACGGCCTTCTTGATCCGTCGATACTCATGTATACTCATCTTCGCCGGCAATGCTCAGGAAACATCGGATTCGGCTGTGTTAATCACTTGAAGAGTTGGAAGGCATAACCGCTGCAGCGTCGCCTCGTCAAACTCTGTACCTGCATCCTCCTCCCTTTTCCCCGCATCCCTCCCACCTGCTGCTCTTCCCACCCCCCTCAGACCGCGACTGCTGAGCGTGGCGGATTGTTTCCTCAGGGCTCCCGAGGGCCTGACTCAGGGGAGCCTTGCTGGCGATGCCGCGCAGATGCAACGCGGACAGCACGGCGCCCAAGAGAACGTCGCTATCACCCTTGACCTTAGCCGCGCACAAAGACAGACTGATGCGCACGAAGCCAGGCTGAGCGTTTATGGACTTTTTGATGTCCGCGCCGATTTCTTGGATCGGCGCTGGACTCCACTCCGTGGCGCGCGGAGCCAGGGGGCCCAACGCCAATCCAACAAATCCGGGCGAAGCTCCGAACGCTAGTGTGTGTGGTCTATCTCCGCATTCGGACCTAGGATGCACGATCATTCGGCTCCATGCGGTTCCAATTGGAGCGGCATCAGGCTAACGAATCTCGGGCAAGCCGAGGATGGGCCAAGGAGTCACGGATGCAAGGGTAGCCTTGGTGAAACGCCGTGATTTCGAGATTGGCACTTGAAGACATGTGTATATACATGTGTATATATACATGTGTATATATACATCTAGTTATATACATATATATATACATATATATAGAGAGTTTCCTGCCGAACTGTCCAAGCAATCGTTCTAGCAATGCAGAGGGGCTGGGCTGACCTCAAGATGCCGGAGTGCAACTGCACTTTAGCCCCCCACCGCGCGAGATGGATGAATGGCAGCCCGTCCATAGATCATGCGAAGTATGCCTTGCCCCTGCTTTTCCATCACTGTTTCGCCTCGTGGGAAGCGGGTTTATAAAACAGCAAATCGATGTCGGTCACCTTGAATCTACTCACAGAAATGCTGAGAGGAAGTGGCAATCGGCTCCAGCATCACCTTGAGACGCATTAGTGTCTGCATCCATCCCCCATTGTTTCCCATTGCATTCCCGTCCTGCGCACATCCCTGTCCGAACACACCTCCACATCGACGGGCGAGTCAAACTGTGCTGCCACCCCTTCTGGAGGAACGACCTTACCGCGAGCAGCGCTAGCCATACAAAGACATGTATCCCTGGCCATTCTTCTCGCAAAGGACCAAGGGGCTATGTGCTTCTTGGGGCCAGGTAGAAGTCCATGGTGTTTGCCCCCATATCGCAGATTCGCCTTCTGCAACTGCAGCGAACGACTGCATGCGACTGCTAGCTGCTAGGTCCTTGGGCCGCCTTCCTTTTTTTCCAACACGTACATGGTTCGTTCGGGTCCTTCTCCTCGTCGCCATCCCCTTCCTCCCTGTTCGAAGGAGGTAGAGAGGGCCAGCAGGCGAACCCTCCACCTGGCAGCACGGAAGGCCTCCCGAATAAGGCCAGAGTAGTTAGGGTCAAAGGTCGCACCGCATCGCAAATGCATCGCCGATGCACCAGCGACGTCAGGACGCAGATCATCGAGCTCCCGATCGCGCTGCATCGCCGTTGCGCCGGCGATGCGGCGCGATCTTCCAACCGCATCTGCTCTGGCCCGATGTGAGAGGCCTCGGAGATCCCCAGGGTGCCAAGACGACGAAGCCATGACGCCGAGGTGACGACTCGCTGCTTTTGAGGGCAGCGGCGTGCGCGCTGCTCCCCCAGGCCAGTCGAGCCGCCCCGCTCGTGGACACCAGCTCCACGGCATCCTCATCGGCCACGGAGGCCGAGGCGAGCGTGCCAGAGCTACCCGTCGCCAGGCAGCTCCCCCAGGCCGGTCGAGCCGCCCCGCTCGTGGACACCAGCTCCACGGCATCCTCCTCAACCGCCGCAGAGGCTAAGGCGAGCGCGCCGGCGCCGCCATCTGCCAGGCAGCTTCCCCGCGCCGATCGGGCTGTCCCGCCCGTGGACACCGGCTCCGCGGCACCCCCCTCGGCGTCCGAGGGCGATGCGAGCTCGCCAGGGCCGCCCCCTGCAGGGCGCGTCTGGGCGCACAGCGCAGCGCCCAGGCTCGCGCCCTCACCCGGCGGCGCCTGGGGGAGACGCGGCCGCTTCGGCGGGGGTGACCGTGCCAGGGCGGCCAGCGCTTGTGGCGCCAGCACCTCGGTGGCCTCCAGGGGGCGGTCGCCGCGGGCCTGCGGGTCGCTGGTCCCATCCACGACCGCCTCTGCCTCGCGTGCCCGCCGCTCTGCGGCAGCGTACATCCGCTCGTCGACGGTGCCCCTGGCCACGAGGTAGTGGACGTTGACGGAGGACGTCTGCCCGATCCTGTGGGCACGGTCCTCTGCCTGCAGGAGCACCCCTGGCACCCAGAAGAGCTCGGCGAACACCACCATGGAGGCGGCGTCAAGCGTCAGCCCCTGGCAGCATGCAGTAATGGACAATAGCGCCACCTGGACATCTGGGTCCTGCTGGAAACGCGACACGGCCTCTGCACGGGAAGCCTGGGGGGAGCTGCCGTCGATGCGGACGTAGCCCGCGCCATCTTCGTCGCTCTTAAGCACCTCCTCTAGCTCGTCGAGGAACATCAAGTGGTGCGCAAAGAGCAAGAACTTGACGCGCGCTGCCAAGAGGCATCTCACGTAGCCCGCCACCGCCGCGACTTTGCCGGGACAGATTGCCGCGCACGCCCGCTCCACGCTCGCGCCGGCATCGTCCTCTCCCGCGGCGCCCGTAGTCTTCCCGAGCGCCAGCTCGACCACCACGCGCTGGCGGCGCTTCGGCGGCAGCTGTGGCAGCACGTCCGCCTTGAGGCGCCGCAGCATGACTCCCTCCACCAACAGGCGGAGCTCCCTGGCACGGCGCACGCTCGCCACCTGGCGCCTCCTGACCCGGACGCAGCTGGCGGAGCCCCGCTGCAGGCCGCCTGCCTGTGCCTCCTGATGCCGATCGCAGTAGCGGGCGGCGAACTCGGCTGGCTTGGGCAGCTCGCCAGGCGGCAGCAGGGCATCCAGCAGGGGGTACGCGTCCGCTGCGCGCGACACCACAGGCGTGCCCGAGAGAAGCAGCGCGCGCCGGGCGCGCTTGGCCAGTGGCACGCTGGCCTCCGCCCTCTTGGACGTCGTCCCTCGCAGCATGTGGCACTCGTCAAGCACCACGACGCCGAAGTCTCCCTCCCCCCCCGGCGGCCTCTGGAAGCGAGCCTCGTGTATGAGAGAGTACGGTACGATGACCAGCCTCGCCGACTCGGGCACGCCGTCCTTGGAGGAGCGGACGAGCGCCACCTGCCCCGGTGCCAGGTGGCCGGGCAGCCAGGCCAGCGCGTGGTCGCGCCACTGCCCGCAGAGCGGCGCAGGGGCAACCACGAGCGCGGGCCACTCGGCGCGATAGTGGCACAGGAGCGCCAGGGCGGTGACGGTCTTGCCGAGCCCCATCTCGTCGCCCAGCAGCAGTCGCCCCTGCCGCCGCAGGCCCTCGCGGACGCCTGCGGGAAGAGACAATTACACGAACGTCAAAACGTTGGGATCTCCGCTCGGATGTCCTGGTGCGCGGAGCGCGCTAGGAGCGGCGCCAGAGGCGCCGCCAGGGGGCTCCAGCGTAGATCCGAGAAATCCGCGCGGACCCCGAACGTTCACGTTCAGATCCTTGATTGTCCATGGCGGCGCGCAGAAGGGGGTGGAAGGAAGGGGGGGGGCTTCTCAGAAGGAGGCTGCTTCTCAGAAGGAGCCAGCAAAAAAAAAAACGCAAACAGTAGCCCTGTCGTTTCCAGGGCCCTCTAAGCCCCCACCCCCCTTCTGCGCGCGGCTGATGCGTGCCCCCCCCGACGCACCATCCAACTGGAAAGGCAGCAGGCTTCCGCCCAGGCCCTGCAGCTGCGGCTCTTGAGCCTCCTGCCCGCCGCCTGCTGAAGGGCCTGCAACTGCGGAGACCAAAAAGTACCGATACCGCTGCAGCCATCGTGCTACTATAAGGAACGCTGCATAAGGAACGACCGGTCTTTTCTGGCCACGGCGAGCCTCGGCTTCGACTATGTTCCCCGACTTCGATCTGAAGAACGGCACGAAAATCAGGCCCCTCCTGACCCCATAGTGGTCCTCCTTCCAGCGTCGTGACTGTAAGCCCCAGACCTCTCCCGGGGTGCGATTTGACCACGGTCTCGAGGCGAATCCAGCGGTGGCGACGAGGGTCTCCAAGGAGACCCAAACAGGCGATCACAAGGCAAGGGCAGCGGCATCGGGGTACATTTTCATCCTCTGACCTCCGCCATTCGCTGCGGGCATCGCGGGCAACGGCGGGCCAAGCTCCGACAGCACGCGCCACGTGGCGGCGGCAAGCCGGACCTTGGCGGCGGCCTCGGCGGCCACCGCGCACGCCGCGAGCGCGGGCACCCGCCGCAGCACCCAGGCGGGGACCGGTTCCACCCGGCAGCGGAAGGCACCGTTCCTGGGCGGACCAAATCGTCATCATCGTCGTCGTCCTCGTCGTCGTCGTCGTCCTTGTCGTTCGCATCGTCTCGTCCGCGTCGTTTGCTGGCGGCGGCGATGTCCTCGTCGTCGTCCGCGTCGTTTGCTGGCGGCGGCGATGTCGCCGTAAGTAAACGTCGTCGTCGTCGTCGTCGTCGTCGTCGCCATCGTCGCCATCGTCGCCATCGTCGTCGTCGTCGTCGTCGTCGTCGTCGTCGTCGCCGTCGTCGTCATCGTAGTCGTCGCCCCCCTTCAAGCTCGGCGGCACAGGCCGTAAGGCCTTCACAATACCGACTTCGCTACTCCCTGGAGACCTCTCCCGGGGTGCATCCCGACCGGACGTTCGAAGACACCCTCCCGTGGCGACGAGGGCCCGCCAGCACGTGGCGGGCAGCGACGTCGGCTCTCTCTCTGTCTCTCTCTCTCTCTCTCTCTCTCTCAGAGCTGGGCCACTCGAGACAACGGCGGCTCACAGTCGGGCCCGGGGCCACCCGTGGGGTCCAGGCGCTCCGAGGGCCCCCCCGCGAAGGCCAATCACGGTGGACTCGACCTGCCCTCCTCTGGCTTCCCCTGCTCCGAGGTGGGCAACAACTGCATCAGCATAACTGTTCGGCGCTCCGCGCGGACCTCTCGGATCTGCGCTGGCCCCCCCTGGCGGCGCCTTCGACGCCGCCCCCTGCGCGCTCCGCGCGCCAAGGAGGGGGGTCCAGCGCCGTTCCAGGGCACGCGCGCGGAGTTGCGAATCCGTGTATTCACGCAGTTTGTTGCGACTCGATCTGCGCTCCACTGGAGCCAGCGCAGCACCTCTGGATGGCTCCAAGATGGGGTCCCGAAGGATGGGGGCCTGAGGACAAGGTGCCAGAACGACTATGCACATTCAACCTTGGACCCCTTCCCACACTTAGGACCCCAAGAACCCCATGCCTAGAGGCCTCCCAAATAGGGTCCGAGCAGATGGGATCGGAGGATCGCGCCGCATCGCCGCTGCATCGGCGCTGCACCGTACGGCGGCCGCGATTCTCCGACCCCACCTGCCCGGGCCCCATCTGTGAGGCCTGGCACCCCTCGGGGCCCCAGCCTTGAGCCACCAGGACCTCTGGGTAGGCCTCCACCGGGAAGCGCCAGCGGCCCGCCGCCGCCGCAGGCCGCGCCGCGGCGTGCGCCGAGAGCGCGGCCCGGATCTCGTGGGGCAGCTCGAGGCCACCGGCGGCCGGGCCAACCTCGAACTCCCCCGCGCCTGGGAGCAGACTGCAGGGATCTTCTGACCCGGGTCAATCCAGACCCGGGTCAGCAGGAAACCAAAAACTGCAATGCAGAAACAAAAACTGCAACGCAGGTCTGTGCAACCCGGGGTCAGCCAATATGCACGGCCGCCTCGCGGCCACGAGCGGCTCGCTAACCCGGGTCAGCCAGAGGGGGGCTTCGCAGGATCCTGCAGGATCTGGCGCCCTCGCTGACCCCCGTCTGCATTGACCCCCGTCTCAAGGCTCCCGAGCAGGGGACCGGAGGCGAGTTCCGGGGGGAGGCGGGCAGGGGGCGGGCCTTCTCGAGACCCTCGGAGGGCCTCCAGCCTTCCGGAGAGAATTCTCCGAGCCTTGCCCGAGGACCCAGAGCACCTCTCAGAAGGCCAGAAGGGGCCCTCAAGAAGCCCCGCCGCCTCCCGAGAAGGCTTGCTCCTTTCCACTTCCCCCCCGCGCGCGCCGCCGAATGGAGAAGCGACACCACCACCACCAGGGACTACAGCGGGGGGAGGGGACAGGGGGGCCCCCTTGGTGGCGTGGTCACCTCCCCACTCGCACGAGACACCCTGCAGATCCCCAGCTCGGGGAGACCTCGTGGACCTCCTCGCTGGAGGTGGCTCCCTTGGTGGCTCGTGGTGTCGCGCGTACTTCCTCCGACCCAGGCATCCGACGTCGCCTGCTTTTGGCTCGCGGCGTGGCGCTCCAGAGTTCTGAACCAAATCTGAGCAAGCCAAGCTGTTCCGCTACGCGGTGCGGCAACGGATCTGGCAACGCACGGGTCACCTGGTCATGCACGAGGCTGCAGACGATCTTGCGTCGCAGCACGGCCGAGGCAGAAGGGCACGGGCGCTCGAGTTGTCAGGGACGCGCGACTCGTGATCTCTCCCGCTGCAAGGAAGGGCAGAGCGTGAATTACCTACCCCGCTTTCGCTTCCAGGCAAAGCCAAGTCATACCACGCGCCTCCTCGTCAAGCGGCCTGACCAGTACAGGCCGTAGTTTGGCATCGCTGGGTATCTCTTGGAAGCGAGGGCGGTCAAAAGCGAGGTAGGATTGTTTGCCCCCTGAAGACAGAACAATCGCTTACCAAGGAACCCCCCTTGCCATCCTGAACCCCTGCTCGACGCTGCCGGGGCCCGGCAAGGGCCACCGGAGGCCGAGGACGGTCAGAATAAGGAGGCCGAGGAGGAGGGGGAGGAGGAGGAGGAGGAGGAGGAGGAGGAGGAGGAGGAGGGGGAGGAGGAGGAGGAGGAGGAGGAGGAGGAGGAGGAGGAGGGAGGAGGAGGAGGAGGAGGAGGAGGTTGAGGAGGGCCACCGGAGGCCGAGGTCGAGGACAAGGAACTGCACAAGCATAAACTGCTGGAGGTCCGCACCCCTCACACGCTTCGTGGCCCCACAGTGTGTGCCCAAATGCAGACCCCAGTGACCAGGTCCGCATGCAGTTCCACGTCAATGTCCGCGCACCCCTCACACGCTTCGTGGCCCAAGAGTGTGCTCCAGCGAAGGCCCCAGTGGCAGGATCCGCATGCAGTTCCACCTATTTCTTGGATCTGCGCTGGACCCCCCTCCCTGGCGCGCGGAGCTCGCCAGGGGCGGCGCCCGAGGCGCTGCTCGGGGGGGGGCCCAGCGCCGATCCGAGAAACCCGCGCGGAACGCCGAAAGATCTCCGGCAGAAACCTTCCGCCGTGCCCGAGCGCCGCACAGCTCGAGCCCCAGCGCCACGTCGAAGCGCTGACCGCCGCCCGCGCTGCGCTGGCCGCCGCGGTGCGCCTGCGCGCCGGCCGCGGCGGGCGCCCCCTCTCCGCCCGCGCGGCCCGCTGGCGCCGCGCGGGGTCCTGCGGCGGGCGCCGCGACGCTGCCGGAGCCGCCCGCGAGGCCCTCCTCGGGCGGCACCGCAGCGGCGGGCGCCAGGAAGGACGCCATGGAGCGCTGGCCGCGGCGCACGCCGCCGCCGCCGCCGCCGGCGCGCAAGTACTCGAGGAATCTCTTGATCTGGCCGCCGGGCTTGGGTTGCTTCCGCGCCCAGGCGCAGAAGCTCGCGTCCTGGCAGGCGACGTCGCTGAACCAGCGCCCCTTGTGCTTCCCCGATGTGAAAGCCGCATCCATGAGCCTTTGGCCTTCCCAATGCTCAGGGTCAGTCCGACGCAACTTCGAGTCCAAAGAACCTCAATCATTTGAGCCAATTTGAAATACAATTCCGAGTCGTCCGCGTTCACTTCTGACGAACGATCGTGCTCACATCAGACAAAGCACGTACATTCCTCCTCATCCGGGCAAAAAGCAGGATGAGGAGGAGGAAGGGGAATGCAAAGAAAAAACGTAGAATAGGGATTGGGAAGGTTGAGAAGATTCGGTTTAACCCCGATCTCTGGACTCATCCTGGGCAGCACCATGACAACTCTGTCGAGCCTTCTGTCTAAGCGTGTTCAGCTGTGTGGACGCCCCCCCCCCGTCCGCCAAGAAACACCAATCCTCCTGCCAAGACTCCTCATCAAAGCGGGCGAAGGCTCCATATATTGCTCTCCGTGCTCACCGATATCACTTCTGGCCCGATCTCGCCCCAGGACACTGAAGAAAGAGGCCCTTACGAAGTCGTGAGGACATCACATGAACGCAATGCCACTGCAGATCCAGACCTCCGACGTCATATTTTTCAGATGACGTCGACCCCCGTCGACCCACTCCCTGGGACCGGCTTCTCATCTCGAGCCGTTGTTTGACGGTCCCGAGGCCCAGCAAGGGCCCCCATGGACGAAAACATCCGGAAAAACTGCCCGTCGTGGTTTTGGGGGGTCTGGGGAGGCAGCGGACTACGGAATGCGACACCCACGCCACGAAATATATATTCTTCAACACGCAATTCGTTTCCGATCACGCGAGTGCTGCCGTGGGGCTGCCCGTGGATGTATCAAGCCTGCCGCCTGTCTCACCACGCCGCCCCACTTCAAGATCAAAGCCCGAGTAGGAGATCGACTACGGAATTGATGTATCCCAGAATTGTTTCTTTCTTGTGGGATTTACATACAAGAACGTAGAACGCTCGTAGTTCTACGCGCATTACACGCATTGTTTGTGACTTGTGCGAGAATCTGAAGTTGAGGGTCAATCAATTCTGTAGTCGATCTCCTGCTTGAGCCTTACTTCAAGTGCAGAGCCATCTTCACTGCACATCAGGTTTGGCCATAGCGATTCGCATGTTCAGACTATTCACTGGCCCAGTGCCGCGCAGAGCGATGCTGCGGCTCACGCCAGCGCACTGACGAGATCTCCGCGAGCCTGTCCTTAGAGAGGCAACATCGGGAGGCGACGGACGCGGGTTCCCCTCCCTCACGTCGTGCAGCAGGGTCGACATCTGGTCAAATTCAGGCATGGCCAGAGCCTCGCAGCCCCTCCTCGCGCCGATTCCGAAGCTCGGCGGCTCCATGGACGTTCACGACGGTGCCCCCAAGCGAGGCTTCATGGATGGAAGCCGGACCCTGACGTCCGACGTTACGACTCCTTCGATGCGCGCACCCCCAGAGATCCCGACCGCTCCCCAGAAGGTACAGTCGGGGCGTTGACCTAAGGAACCCTAAATAAGGAACGAGGCCCCTTTCTCCCATAAGTTACACTTCGATTTCCCATCGGAACCCTAAGCAAAACCAAAGGCGAACTGCAAAACAACTAAAGAACACCGAGCCCCTCCCCAACGGAAAGGGTTCCTTCCTCAGCGCCCCGACTGTATGATTGCATCCCGGATTCGTCTCCAGTGGTCCCGGGGCCCGAACACGCGCCCCCCCCCCCCGAGGGCCGACATCGAGAACACCCCGCCGGTGGAAAACACATTGCATCGTCGGAGGTCTGGGGACGCATGCCGCGCGCACTCGCTCCAAGGCGTGCCGAAGGCGCGCCTCGCGAATCCCTGAGCCAGGCAGCGATCGCCGCGAGCGGCTAGGCCACCAGCCCGGGCCCTGCGCTGCGCAGCGAGCGCGCATCCTGGCTGACTGCGGTCGGACGCCAACTCTCCAGGCTCTGGACCCCCTCCCGGCCATGAAGAACCACGACGGAACACGTTTGACAATTTTCGGCTCCTGGGGGTATTCGCCAGGCCCCGGGGCCGTCAACAAAACAGCAGGTTGCTTCAGGAAGCAGCTTGTCCCAAAGACGTTGTCCTACTCGTTCCCAATACGTTTGCCGAAAGCATTTCCGCAGCTCCTTCGCAGCGCCTCGGGAGCTCCTAAGATTGTTTCGCGAGCTTGCAAGCTCCCCAGACATCATTTCAAGGGTCCTTGCAAGCCTCCCCCGCAAACTTTTACGCGCTTTGGACTGCCCCGTACTCCGGGTTCTGGACGCCACAAATTGTCGGCCCCTGGGGGCCCTCGCCAGGCCCCGGGACCGTTAAAGGAACGATTCGGGATGAACAACAAGTCCCCGGACCTCTGGGGAGCAACGTCATGACCAAATCATGGCGCCTGACGCCAGCTCTACAGCCGCACCGGTCCTGTCCAGGGCAATCCTGGGCGTAAAGTGGGCCTGGCCGAGGATGCGGCCGCAAAGAAAGAGAGAAAAAGGTCCATAGACGCACTAATATCGCTGGAGATGGCCTGGCCTCAGTAGAAGCATGGAGATGTTCGCATCCCCGTGCCAACCTACTACGGCAAGTTCGTGTCGTGACGCCATCGGCCTTGGCTTCTGACACCGCGTGTATATCCTTAAACCTTGAACTATCGCGGCTTCCCGATCGCGCGAATCGCTCGATGCCGGCAGATCTCGGACCACTGGCAGCGTTCAGCCTTGAACGCCCGCGCTGGGATCGACGCCGCGTCGACACGAAGCGAACCTGCCGTACGCGCCTCCGCAGAACGGGTAGCTCCAGTAAATCTGAATCCAAGAAAGCCTGTGATCTCGTGAACACGCCACAGTGCCCGCAGGCCCGCCGCTGACCTTCCGCTGGAGGAGCCGCCCACGCCTCTCTTCCGCCAGCCTTCCGCCGAACACGAGAAGATGGGAAGCCCTCGATCCTTCGGGAGCGAGGCCCTCTCTGAGACGCCCCCGGTGCCCCAGAGCCGCAGAGGCGCAGGCTCACCGGCTGCGGCTCCTCCCTGGGCCGGCGCTGCTCCGGCGGGCCCGAGCCTCGGCGAGGCCCGCGGGCCCTGCTCCGTGCACTCCGACGCCCCAGGAGGGGCCGCTGCTGCGGGAGGGCAGCAGCGACGCGGGCAGCGCTCTTGAGCAAGCGGCCGCGGGCACACGCGGCCGCGGCCGAACTCCCCACACGGAGGCAGCGGAGGTGGAGAAACACAGGGCTGGATCCGCAAATGGAGCATCTGAAGGCCGCGCGCTGGAGGCACACCTTTGGGGCGTCGAGGCCTAGCGGAGCAAGACGCAAGCCGAAGAAAAAGCGCGGAAGGCCAGCGCACCTGGCCGAAGAAGGGCCAAACAGTGGAAAAATGTGTTGGCGGGTCCCGGGAACGCTGATGCCAAAAATGCTGACGTCTCTTCAAGGGGTGATGTTTACTTCCGCTAGCTTCCGCCGGCCTTCCACCAGCCCTGCCAGCGGAGCCGCCCCCGTTTTTCTTCCGCCGCCTTCCGCCGACCTTCCGCCGCCTTCCGCCGAAGAAGAGATGGCAACTCCTTCGACCCTTGAAGATGAGGCCCTCTTTGGAATGCCGCATGGTGCCACACGTATATCCAGCTTCCTGGAAAAATATAGTGTTCTCCCATCCATCCTGGTGTGTTGGGTCTTCGTCTGGAATCAGCAACGCCCCGCTTTCCCGCTCTTCTCCTCCACTCCTCTCCTCGCCTCCTCTTCCCCCCTCCTTCTCCTCGTCTTCCGCTTCGGTGACACTCGGTGATGCCAAAGGCTCGAGTCATGACAAGCACAAGCCCCACCATCGCCAGTCGACATTGGGTCGAATGCGACACAGACGATAACACTCGCCGCACTTTTGCTCAATAGATCCCCTCAACCCTCCATCTCCACCCCTGGACCCCCCCCCAACCCTCGATGTCCTTGCTGCGCTGGTGCGCAGCAGCTCATGCAAAGGATGGAAGAGGGGAAGACGAGGGGAAGCGCGGACATACAAAGGATCACGGAAGGAAGGAGGAGGAGATGAGGAAAAAATCTCAATTCAAGCGCAGACTCGTCTGGGCGAGCTGCAAGCTGAGATCGCCTGGAACGAACAAACGCAGCAATCACTGATCCGCATGAGCTCCGTTGTCTGGCCATAGTTTCAAGCTTGATGTCAACGCTTTCCTCCTGAAGGGGCGAGGAGGACAAGGGGGAGGGGGCAAACGGCGGCAGCTTCTGCGCCCCAGAGGAAGAAGGCGACCTGTCTGTTTGCAAAACGGCGTAGGGGCAATTCCACACGGGTTGATCGCGGCGCGACTTCACGAAGGCATGCTGCTGGAGGCAATGAGCGCAACCGTTGACAGTTCTACTCAGGCGCATTCGACGCTGGCGCAAGCCGCCACCCACCGCGAAGGCAGTCCTCGTGCGAGGCGAGCCTGCCCTGCGTGAGGTCCAGGGCTGGAGAGGCAGCAGTGTGCTCCCATCGGCAGCGATATCCGAACGCGCCGAGGCCCGCCGCCGCCAGCCTGGCTTCGACGCTCGCCACCCCCGCCGAGGCCGCGCAGCGGAACGCCGACGACCCGGCCGCGCCCCTGGCGGTACTGCCCCTCGACGACGGCGACGACGACGACGACCACGACGACGACGACGACGACGACGACGCCGCGAAAGCAGCGACAGCGTGCTCCGTCGGCACCGATCGCTCAACCTCCGTAGCAGAACGACGGTGTCTCGACAGGACTCGCCCGCACAGGCCTCCGCCAGGTGATCCGCCTCACCCCGCGGGTCCCAGGGGCCTCAACCCCCTCCGCAGGAGCAGGCCAGCAAGCTCGTGGCTCGCAGCTGCTTGCCCTGCCCACCCGCCGCCCTTTTCTGAGGCACGAGGGACATTATGGAGCACACAAGCTGAATGGAAAAGGCACGGTGGATGCGACGAAACAGCCCGCCAGACGTTGGCGTCGCGCCAGTTGGTATTTGGTGCGATGGGGGCGGCCATCAAAGAAGGCGTGGGCCTTCTGGATAACGGGGGCCTCCTTAGAAACACTCCGTGCTGCCAAAAAGCATGTGGGCCCTTCGAAGCAGGCTCCTGCCATTTAAGAACTTATATAACAAATATATGACTATACGGGGTGTCGTGACCCAAATTGTGTCCGAAGATCTGCCCGAGTGAGACGGGCGCGTGATGTTTCCCGAAAGCGCCAGAGTGTGACCGAAATTGTTGGTTTCGAGCCAGAGCAATTTCCAATTTGGATCGCACATGCGGTCGCCCTACGTTTTCGGGGGCTATTTCGGGCACTTGTCGGTCACCGACTTCTTTCGCTCGCATACCGTTTTACATGATGGCGCTGAGAGCCATGACCCCGTCTCTAGGCAGGCTGGCCCCCTGCGACACAACCTGTGTGAGCTGCAGTAGAGTTGATGGAAAACGATCGTGGAAAGCGAGAGGGTGGGGAACGGAGGTCCTGCGCCCGCGCCGGCCAGCTTCCGGCAATCCGCGTCCTGGCCGCTGGGCCTTGCAGCGGATCGCTGTCGTCATCGTTGTCACCGCCGCCGTCGTCGTCGTCGCCTCTGTCGTCTGTGTCTTCGACTTCGAATTCGTCGTCGTCGTCGCCGCCGCCCCCGCCGTCGCCGCCGCCGCCGCCGCCGTCGTCGTCGTCGTCGTCGTCGTCGCCGTCGTCGATGCCGATGTTTCATGGTTTCTGCCTCCGGGTGCCGGCTTAGGTGGCCAAGAAAACAGCGAGGCATCCAGTGGCCGAGGGTGAGAGACCCGGCCCCAGGGAAGGGGTCGAGAGCTCCGTGGGCCAGCGACTCGAAAAGACCGCGCCGTCGCCGGTCTGGCGCGTCACTGCTGGCGATGTCTTTGCAATCGCCATCGCTGCCGCTGGAAGCTGCCCCCCCCCGGCCGGCGTGTGCGCCCACGTGGAGGCCGAACGCTCCGTGCGGACGTCGCACCCCATCGGCAAGAGGCGAACTGCAGACGGAGCAGGCCCCGACGGAGGCCAAGCGCCCCGTGCGGACCCTTACCCTACACGGACATCGCTGAAGGGGAAGTGGGACACACAAATAAATACACACTGTTAACAGGATTCCCCATATTTTCCCATGTTCTCTGGGTTTTTGTTTTCCCCCCCAAGTGCCCCAAAGCTTGCAGCCAAAATCTTGCCAGAAGGGACCTGAGGAACGCTACCATTGTTGGGCGTCTTCCGAAATCAAAATGGCCCTCATTACAAGGCGTCGACTGAACTAACCTTAAGTCGGGCGTGTCCCCCTACAGGGGGATTTTGGACGGGGGGGGAAAAAATACTCCAAAAATATCCCCTAAAATACTCACAAAATCGTCCCCGTATTATTTTTTGACTATTTGTGAATTTTCCCCTGTAGAAGGACACGGCCGACTTCAAACTAACCAGGCCCTGCGCCGCCAACATCGGAGGTCTGAAGAGACCTGGTGCAACAGACGCGGTATGGCCATCCGCGCTCCGCGCTCCTGTTTTGTTTCGGGCTGTGGCATTCGACATGCTGAGCTATCGGGCGCACCGGACGAGTCGGCATCTCCTCCTCCTCCTCCTCCTCCTGCTCCTCCGCCTCCCTCCTTCGCCTCCTCCCTCCTTCTCCTTCTCCTCCTCCTCCTCCTCCTCCTCCTCCTCCTCTTCCTCCTCATCGCTCCCGCTCCTTCTCCTCGCTCCTCCTCGCCTGAACAAAAAAGGGCAGAAAGCGGCGTGGCGACGAATACGCGATGAGGAAGCCCGGACATGCGGTGTCCTGCTGTCTCAGTACGCGGTCCCCAGAAGTCCAGACCCCTTCCCAGAGGCAAATTCTTCATCCCAGGTACAGTTGGGGCGTTGACCCAAGGAACCCTGAATAAGGAACGAGGCCCCCTTTTCCCATACGTGAAACTCAAATGTTCCATGGAAAACCTCAGGAAAACCCAAGGAGCACTATAAAACAACTAAGGAACACGGGGCCCCTCCCAAACGAAAAAGATTCCTTCTTCTGCGCCCCGACTGTAATGTTCAAACTCCCGGTGCCCGCTACGGGCTCGTCCTGTTTTTGCTCAGGACTCCGCACGTCTGGGTGCGACGGTATCGAATCTGCTGAAGGAGAACGCGGGGACAGCAAGCGACCACAATCATATCGAAGACGCACCCTGGGGGATATCTTAAGCATGCCAACAATCGTCAGAACACTAGACCCAGCTCAATACTGGCTGAGGTCGACGTGGGCGTCCAAGACGGGCAAATCGACCACAACCACAGCCAACATGTCCATGTCGACGCGGGTGGGTTCTCCCCCGAGGGGCCCTCCAGAAAAATCCGCGTAGTATGGTTGCGGTTCTTTGTGCCTGGAGACAAGGCGTACCCAAAATGGGAAATGGGTCGACACCCAGGGGTCTTGACCCATTCCCCGGGACCCGCTTCGCACCTGGACGCGTTTTGACGGCCCCGAGGCCCAGCAGAGGCTGAGAACAGCGAACCAACATCTGCCGTCGTGATTTTTCGACTACTCGATGGGGGCCTGGAGAAGGCGCACAAGCGTGCAGCATGCAGGGAGCCTCGCAACCGGTCGTGCGGGTGCAGCGGCGCACAGCTTCGTGGGCCTCTCGAGGAGCACGGGCGCCTGTCGAAGAGCATATCTCTCTCCCTCCCCTGCAGGGGCCCAGGGATACATCAACGCATAGAAACGAATTCCAGGAATCCACATATCTGTATACATATCTCTACGTATCTGCATATATGCATATGAATACATGTATGTGTATGTATATGTGTATGTATATTATCTGTGTTCTAGGTTCCATATGTTCCGGATGTGCCGTATCTCCCTCCACTTCCTATATTTGTTCACCTTGTCCTGTGCCAGTTGTCCCTTCTGAATCGTGGTCTGGTCCTAAGCGAGGCCTGCCTGGTTTCCCCTAGCCAGGACGATCTTGCTCAGAACTGATCCCTTGGTGCATCCCTGCACCGCACCGTCCTGATCAATTTCTCACACCACGAGCCCCCTCCATCGCAGAAGGCAGCGCGGCAGAGCCGAGTGCGGGCGCAGGAAAGCTAACATGTGCTCCTCCTCACACATCCTCCCTCCTCCAGCTCATCCCCATCCTTTCCTAGGCACGCTATTCGGCCTGAGGGACCCGAAGCGTCAGGCAGCCCGCACGGACGCGGGCACGGGACAGACAGGAAGCCTCGCAGCACAGGACGGGAGGCAACTCAAGGGGACATCAGAAGATGGGGAGACAAGCAGGTGCGACGACGACGACGACGGCGATGACGACAACGACAGGCTGAGCCAGAGTGAACGGCAGCTTGTAGGCTCATCCGCATGCTGCTCATCCCCCACCTCTCCTTCCCCCGTCCATCGCCCCCGGCCTGCCTCCCTCGTCCCTCTTGCCGGCGACCTCCTCCCTCAACGCTTGTAGGACGTACTGATATGCTACCCCGCGTGGACCCCGACCAAGGTGTTTCTAGCAGTATAAGTTGAGCAATATATGCAAAGCCGACGATATAGCACACTCTATGTTGTGCCATATAGGTGGTGACATCTGTGTAGTGCAATGTATGTGGTAAATTGTGTGTTGTGCGATATGTGTGGGGCAGTTCCCTTGGTGCACACTATGTTGTGCAATATCTATGTATGATTATATAATAAGAGGTTTGGGGGGGAGATCGCAGTGGAGCGGAGACCCCCAACCGGGAAATCGTTTCGTTTCGTTCGTGTCGTGCGTGCGGGCGAGGCGAAGCTGCGTGGGCGCGCGGGAGGGATGAACCCGCCGATCCTAGGTCGAAGTCGAGACAACTGATTCTCCCCCGTCCGTTCGTCCGTCCGTCCGGCGGTAGCCCTAGCGGTGTCCCGCGGTGTCCCGTGGTGTCCGCCGTTGCTAGGGCGAAGTCAAAACAAATGATTCTCCCCCGCCCGCCCGTCCGTCCGTCCGTCCAGCGCTGGCTCGCGGTGTCCCGCGTTGTCCCTTGGTGTCCCGTGGTGTCTCGTGCTGTCCCGTGGCTTCCCGTTGAGTGAGATCGATCGTGAGATCGATACTGAGATTGACAGGTGTCCCGTGGTGTCCCGCTGAGTGAGATCGATGAGATCGATAGTGAGCTCGATACTGAGATCGAGGTGGTGCCCCGAGGTGTCCCGTGGTGTCCCGTTGAGTGAGATCGATAATGAGATCGATAGTGAGATCGATGTGGTGTCCCGTGGTGTCCTATGGTGTCCCGTTGAGTGAGATCGATAGTGAGATCGATACTGAGACCGATAGTGAGATCGAGAGGCGCCCTGCAGTGTCCCGTGGTGTCCCGTGGTGTCCCGTTGAGTGAGATCGACAGTGAGATCGATAGAGAGATCGACGAGTGTCCCGTGGTTTCCCGTGGTGTCCCGCTGAGTGAGATCGATAGTGAGATCGATTGAGTCAGATGTTGATTCCCCCCTCTCTCCCCCCCCACAACCTCCTTATCACCCGAAGGGTGGTCGTAGAGGTATAGATATGGTCGAACAGATGTTGTGCAATATAGGTTGCGCAATGTGCTGCAATTTCGATCGTGCAATCTACTATGAGCTGTGCAACCTCCGTGGTACACCGCATATATGGTGCAAGCTCGTGCAGGCTATCTGGTGCAATAGATGTGGAGCAATGGACATGTTGCAGTATATGATGTGCAACCTACAATGTACATCCTATGTGGCGCCAACCTATGTGGCACAATGAATGTCGACCAATCGATGTGGTGCTAAACTTGTAGTGAAACGCACGTGGTGCAATCTATTTGGTGCCATGCACAGCAATGCGAATCAATGTGAGGCAGTGCGAACCCATGCAAACCATACACTGCAAATCAAAGTAGTGCCAATGCAGAGTAGCCGAAAGCAACGCGACGTAACGCAAAGCAAAACAATACAGAGTAGCGCAAGGCGATGCAAAGCAATGCGGCGACGAGGCTGCGCGCGGCGACGACGCGGCGACAGGGCGGCGACGGCGACGACATAGCCGCCAGACCGCCAGACAGGCCCAAACGACGATCGGCGACGAGGCGGCGACGGGGCGGCGACGGCGAGAGCATAGCCGCCAGACCAACAGCCAGGGCCAGACGACAAGCGACGGAGCAGCCACGGCGAAAACATAGCCGCCAGACCAACAGCCAGGCCCAGTTCCTTCGACCGAAACGAAGAGCCCCTCAATGCAAACACTGTCTGGGGAATGACTGCACATCTCCTCTCTGCCTGGCAATGTGCTGGTATGCTCTCGCATCTCCCGCGTACTGTTCTGTCCGAGTCCGAAAGATTTCAAATATTGTTCTTTCCCGCTGTCATAACGTCACCCGTCCTTACAAATGATGCTCCCGCTGCAGCGTCTCTCGCAATTTTTGTTTCAGATCAACAGATTTTAAAAATTGATATTCCCCATTTGGCTGTCGTAACGTCGCCCGTCCTTAAAGATAATGCTCCTGCTGGATCGTTGGCCACATTTCAGGACCAGCGCGCTGCTCTCGTCGTTAAGAGTTGCGCTCTCGCCGAAACTCGGACCACATTTCCAGATCCGATTCATTCCCCTTTGTAGCCGTGTACTTCTGCCCCCCTCCTTCACCTTCATCTGCTTCTCCTACGCCTCCACCTCCTCCACCTTCATCCGCCTTCTTTTGCTTCTTCGCCTCCCCCTCTGTCAATGTCCACTCCGTCATCTTCCCACTCTGCCTCCACCTCCGTCCTGCATCTCCATCCGCTCCCCGAGTCCTGGTTGCGCGACTGCCATTTGGGAACCAAGGGCCTGCATGACACCCCAGCTCGTGGATAGAGATTCATTCAATGTGATGTGAACGTTTGGGGAGGAGGGGTAGGTCGGACGTCAGATGTGTCGCGAGCGCCCCTAGCTTGTCCTCATCTATCCTCTTTCCTCCTCCTCCCTTGTCCCTTCCTCCCGGGGAAGGGAGGAGCGGAGAGGGAAAAAAACGAGACGTGGTGATCAACTGCCTGGGGGAAGAGCGCAAGGAGAGCGGAGGGGAAGGGAACACAAGTGGGGAAGATGAGAAAAATGCACGAGGAACCAGGGGCAGGCGACCTGCTCAGCAGCAGAGGCGGAAAGAACAAAGAGGAGGGGCAGCGATCATGAGGAGTGAGCCCACGACGACCACGCACGCCATGCCCCATCATGTCCCCCCCATAGTCAAAGCAAGGGGGCACGGGGAACATGAACGCGAGGACAGCTGCTCGCCTACGCGACTTGAAGAATCTCTCGATCCTTGCCCAACTCTTCCTTAGTCGTCGTCCGTAGGTTCGTCTTCGTCGGTCCCAAGTCTATCAGCATCGCAGACATGATGAGTAGCTGCGCACGCATGCGCCGACGAAAGGGACCAGGCATACCGACACAAGCACAAACAAACACAAACCGAGCGTGTGGCTCCCCCTGGCCACGTAGCAGGGTTGTCCTGCGAACGTGGCAGAAACTCGCCGCATCACCGTCGTGCTGAAGAACGCGTAAATCACACCTTAGACGCATCGAGAACGCACCTACACATTAAATGTAACAATGGAGCCCAACACTTGATGTTATGCACAGAGAAGCGGGGGAGGAGGAAGAGAGGGTCAGGAAGAGGAGGAGGGTGAGGGTGAGAAAGCCAGTGATGATGGATACGAATTCGGGGGGGCAAGACGGCCCCGATCAAAACACCGCGGAAGGCTTCATGCCAGTCACCCCCGGGGAGGCCGTGGCGAGTGCTATTCGATGGTGCACCTTGTAAAGAGCGTACGTAAGCTCCGAGAACGTGGAGGACCGCAACCGAAGCAATGGCAAGTCCAGACTGAAAGTGTGGCGGGAGGGAATGGCAGGGGAGTGCGCCGATGGAATCCATCCGGACACGCAAGGTGGGTTTGTCCGCTTCTACCTGCTAGCTGCAAGCGTGAGGCCCGCGAATCCGGAACCTCCGCCCCCGACGATGCAAGCGGGTCTACTTTACCGCCGGACATGGGCGCAGGGCAAGAGGTGGCGATCGTGCCCCCGCTGAACTGCATGAGGAATCGCCTGCAGCGGTCTTGCCCAGCTCGAAGCGTTGAGCCACAGTCGCTTCGTTGCTTGATTGCTCACATGACGAACAAACTTTATGTAACCAGCCCCCTGAGGTCTTCCTGTGGCCGTCTAGGATGGATGGCGCCGCGACATCGGTGGCGTGGGGGTGCGCGGGGGCAGGCCTGCCCGCCGAACGCCGCGGTCCGCATCGGCGGCGACTGCTCACGTCCCGCTGCCCACCTGGCGCGCGCGCCACTCGGGCACCCGCACGGAACCACAACGAATAGCAGGACGAAGTGCGCAGGTGATCGCCAGATGGACGGTCCTGGAGCCAGGGCTGGATTGTTGGCCCGCCGACTCCTGTCGTAGGCCCAAATTTTAGGGGGAAACGAACCTACCTCGCTTTTGACCACCCTCGCTTCCAAGAGATACCAAGCGGTGCCAAACTACGGCCTGTACTGGTCAGGCCGCTTGACGAGGAGGCGTGGTATGACTTGGTTTTGCCTGGAAGCGAAAGCGGGGTAGGTAATTCACAATCTTAAAAATAAATACACTCTGACGGCATGGTCTATGATGCTGGGGGTGCCGGAATGGGAGGGGCGTGGGGGGGCGGAGCGCGAACGTCGCCTCTGGGCCCGCGGGTGGAGATCTATGTGGGGCCCAAATCTGACGGGCGGCGGCATGCGGACGATGTCGTTGGGGCCATGGTGAAGGGTGTGCCGAAATGGGCGGGGGGGTGCAGAGATGAAACGAGAAAAAAGGGATGAAGGTGGATGGGGGGGGAAGCAAGGAGGCGCGCGACTCTGCGCATTCTGAAGGAGGGCCCTCCACAGGAGGGTGGGAGAAGGGAGGGGGATCAACACTGCGCGTTTCTTTTATTTCTCGCGTGATACTTATGGACAGCCGGGTACGAACATGATAACGCGATTCGCTCGTTACGATGAAATGGCATGGGCCCGCCGCGTGACCCATTACCGTAAGAGCACCTGGGCACGTCAACAAAGTGCAATGCGCAGACTGTGCTCTCGAGCGTGCACATGTGCGATTCGAGAAGTGCGATTGCCAGCGGCACCACATCAACCAACGAGAAAAGCTGCTCGCACAGGAGGCTGGATATCTGCGCGGCGGAGAGGCGTGGGGGCGGGGCTGTGCAGGGCGCAAGCATGTGCACGGCGTGCCCTCTTCTGGCTCGAGGCTGGTGATGATCAAGCGCTCCCTGCCCTTGGTCGCCTTTCGCAGTACACGCGCGGCGGGCATGCGTTTGCTGTCGCATGCTTTGCCTCCGAGGGAGCCACGACGACCGCTGCCTTGACCACATGTCGGCACAGGGCTTCGAGACTGCGCTCGTGCTTCGCGCTCCAGGCCGCGAGAAGCCCCGGGCGTGCCAGGTGATTACGCGTGCGCGAGCTCGCGTGGGATGCCTCTCCCACGGCCCCGAGGCACTGCGACCCCCCCGCCTCGTCGGAGGCGGTGAGCTGGTCGTGGAGGAGCTTCCCGAAGTCCGCAGCGCGGATGCCGCGCAATCGGGCGATCCGCCGCGTCCACTCGGGCACCGGCGCGCGTCGCAATTGGGCCTGCGCTCGGGGGGGCACTGGTGCGCCCAAGCGCCCGCGCGAGCCCCGCCTCAGGGTCGCGCCACGTGAGCCCGGAGACCAGGACACCAGCAGCTTTAAGTCGGGCCTGTCCCCCTACGGGAGGATTTTCGACGAAGCATAGAAAAGATATCCCAAGAATAGTCCAACAATAATCCGAAAATAGCCTGGGGACTATTTCTTGAATATTGTTTGTGCTGTTTGGGGTATTTTTTATTTTGCGTCGAAAATCCCCCTGTAGGGGGACACGCCCGACATAACAGTGGCTGAGGAGGCGCATGGCCTCGCCGCGTCGAGGTCGTCGTCGGCCAGTGCGCGGCGACTGGTCGATGGAAGAATCGTGCCGTCGAGTTCGCGCGTCAGCCACACCCTCTGCCGCGAACTGTCGCCAGCCTTGTGTCGGGCGTGTCCCCCTACAGGGGGATTTTCGACGAAAAATGAAAGATACCTCCAAAATACACCAAAAAGGTCAAAAAATACAAAAAAAAGTCCCCAGCCTATCTTTGGACCATTTTTGGACTATGTCTAGGATATTTTTCTATGTTTCGAAAAAAAGATCTCCCTGTAGGGGGACAGGCCCGACTGAACGCCAGCCCGCGGCCGTCCGCTGCTGCGATGCCAACTGCGCTGGTTCGAGGGAGGGCACCTGCACGATCGCACTCTTCTGGAATGGAAGCTGCCTGGCGGGCACGCGGACGTAGGCATGATGTGCTCAGGTCATGCATCTCAAGCTTCCCGCCAATGCTTGATCGCTGCTTCCATTGCTGGGGGGGCGACTACATGTTGCGCGCCCATGGTGAAGACGGCGGGCAGAGCTTGAGATTCCAGGCAGTTCGCGCTCGGATGTCCAGTATCGGAAATGCTGCTTCGACTACGGGGACCGCTCGGTGGGCGCACGTGGCTGCTCCGCCAGGTCGCGACTCCTCCTGCTCTGCATAGCACAAAGAAAAATATGTGTCGTGTTGATCTTGGCTGGCGACTGCTCTGCGCTCCATTGAGTCTAACCTTGTATGTATGTGTGCGCCTGGAACATTGAGCGGCCATCTGCGTCTGGGCACACTCTGAATCCGTACCGAAGGAGGCACGCTGATCGGCGCAGAGGCCGGCGAGCTCCGTTTTGACGTCGGAGGGTGGCGCTGTTGCCAGCGGGGCATCTCCGCTGAGTCCGTCATGCTGCGGCGCACGTACGTTTGCTACTCCAAGGCTGACGGCCGGCCGAGCTGTGCTCGAGGTGAAGCGGGGTTGTTGCGGAACTGTGCGTGTGGGTCCGCTGCCGCCGATGCTGCCCACAGGTTTTGTCTGTCTGCTGGCCAGTGTCGCTGTAGCCGAGATGCGCGAGGCTCGGGAAAGCGAGCTTGTCCCGCTGCTTGCGGTTGTCGCGTCGGCTGCCTCTGCGGTGCCCGTCGGCGCTGCGAGGACATGACGGTCCCGAATAGACTGATGCTGCCCTTCTGCCTCAAATTCGTGGTGGGCCTGTCTGCCATGCGCGCGGACCTGCCACCTCGGGCCATGGGATGAGCACCCGCGGGGACTGGCGAAGACCTGCGCGCTGGGGCCAGGAGTCTGGACGGCGGCCGCCCGCAAGGCCCTGGGTGCAAGCAGAAATCGCGCGCAGCCGAGCGATCCGCCGCGGACCGGAGGTCCCCATCGGAGGCCAGCGGGAGGCGCCCACGTGGAGGAAGCAGGGGAAGCCATCCTGGGCCAGAGTGGCGACGGAGAAAAAGCAGGATGAGGATGACCAGACACAGGGAAACAAACAATGACATAAACATTCAAACTCAGAGGTTCGCGCGGATTTCTCGGATCGGCAATGGACCCCGCCCCCCTGGCGCGCTCCGCGCGCCAGGGGCGGTGCCGGAGGCGCCGCCAGGGGGCCTATGACGCCGATCCGAGAAATCTGCACGGACATCCGAGTCTTGGACCTGATGTCACTGCTTGTCCCACGAAGACGGCGGAAGAGAGGGGGGAGGGAGATCCCGGCCACCCGGCCTCGCGCTGCGCGCCCCCGTGGTGCGCGACGCGCGACTTACCTTCGCGCCCTCGCGCCGCCCTCCCTGGGAGAGGCCAGCTCGGCGTCCCCGCCCTCGGCGCGCGAGGCGTGGATCTTCGCGCCGCTGGGTGCGGCCCGAACGGGTGGCGGAGGAGTGAGCAGGTCGGAGGGAGCAGGTCGGGGACCAGGAGGAGAAGGTCGGGGGCGGCGAGGGCGGAGGACGAAGGGGGGCGGGAAGAGACGTAGAGAGCGATGGAGGGGGGTCTGGAGGGCTGCGACTGGTCCACCCAAATAAAGCTCCCTACGGGAGGCGCTGGCGGGCGAGCTTGGGACTGTGCGACGGCTACCTCCGAGGCACGCGTGGCCACCTTCTGATGCTGCTCATTCTCGTCATCCTGCTGCTGACCCTGCTGTTGCTGCTCCTGCTCCTCCTCACACTGCTCATGCGGCTGCTACCACCACCACCACTGCTACTGCTGCCACAACCTCTCCATCCAATGCTGTTGCTACTGCTGTTGTTGTTGTTGTTGTTGTTGCTGTTGTTGTTGTTGTTGTTGATGTTGTCATAACAACTTCAATCACTACCACCACCATCACCACCTACGCCAATTGCTGCTACCGTGACTGCATTCAGACTGATACTGCGACTACCACTCCTGCCATGGCTACTGTTCCTGCCCCTGCACCAGCTACTATTACACCCACAAGGGTTTCTGCTGCTACTGCTGCTAATGGGGATGTTGGTTACTCCCTCCACTTCAACTGCTCTGGCTGATTCGGCGACGGCAGGTTCGCGTTGCGACAGCCTGTGGAATGGTCTGCGACGCCGCATGGATCGCCGCATGGATCGCTCAACCTTGAGCTATCGCGACGTTCTGATCCCACCGGATCGTGCAGTGTATCGGCGGTTCCAGGCAGATGCCGGCGTCCAACCTTGGCCACGCTCGCTGGGATCGCCGCCACGCCGACACGGCGCGAACCTGCCTCACTCCCGCTGCTCCCGCTGCCCCTGGGCTGCCCCCCGACTGCGCCCCCGCTCGTGCTCCGATGCTGCCGCTCCGCCGCCCCCACCTGGCACGCGAGCGCGCGCGCGCGCGCGGCCCCTCTGCCCTGCCCTGCACCCGAAGCAATGGCTTATGCGTGCTGGAGCTGCCAGCAGGGTCAACGCACAGGTGCGCTGGACGCCTTCCCTCCCAAGCGCCCTCCTCCCCACCCTCTGCCACCTTCACCTCCACCATGTCCTCCGCCGCACCCATCCTCTGCCCGATGAGTTCGCGCTCAGGCCCCCGCCGGTAGCAAAGGCCCTGCGCGGCAGCCTCGATCGGTGGCTGACCTCCTCTCCCGGAGCAGGTTTTCACATTTTTTGGCACCCAGAAACCAGTTCTGGGCCCCAGGGTCGTCAGAAACCTCTAATTATCCGCCCCTCCTACAACCGAAATCTCATCGCAAATAACCTCAAAGTGCTGGTGGGCACCCAACAGTGCGCTCGTGCAACAGATGCGGAATTCGGCACATTCGCGTTTCACCCGATTCGCGTGGAATCCCATGCGTGTGGACCCACATGCATGTGGAGCTCTGCCTTTGTGAGTGGAACCCATGTGTGCGAACCCCGTGTTTGCAAGCCAAGGTTTGTGCGTGTACGTGTGGAAAGAGCAACATGAGTGTGCAACCGCACGCGTGTGGAACCCTGGGCCATAGGCCTGTGGAATCCCAGTGAATGGATTCCGGTATGCCTGGAACCCCATGAAAATTCCAAAGGTCACTGCGTACGGCACCAAACGGGGATGCAGAGGCCACCGCATTTGAGACCCCATGGGGTTCCGCAGGTATGGTTTGTGAACCCAGTGCCCCGAGGACACAGCCAGGCAACGCCGAGCCCCTTCCTACTCAGAAGCGATCTTTGCCTACATTGCATGCCCTGACGGTGCTCCTCCGCTACCCTGCTCTCCTCGGTGTTCCAGATACAGGGGGGCCCGGACCACAAGAAACCTTCCACAAGAAACCCAACCCTGAGACCCCAGGACGTCCATAGGTTTTGGGTGTGGGGACGTCACGATTCCCATCGCAAAACCATCGAGACCCAGGAAACCCAAGGCGCCCTGGAGGCAAGCAGGGTGTTTCTTGGCATGGGTCTCCACGGCACTGCTGATCACAACCCTTCGAGAAGAAGCAGTGCGAAGGCAGTGGCGAGGCAGCGCAAGCGGGCGGGCAGCTCCAATATCGCGTTGGCCTTGGCCTGCAGCGCCTCTGGCCGAGGATGCGCTGCGGGAGAAGCGGGGGAGACGGCCACAACGCTACAGCCGCTCAACCTCCCCCACCGGCCGCACAGAAACACAATTCAACCAATCACGTGACGCCACCCGAACTGCAGAATCGAACTAAACGTCTTCTCCATGACCTCGAGCCAATCGGGATGCTAGGACATCCGCTCAGAAACCTCCGGCCACCTCAAAGAAGGCGAAGCAGAAAGGGTCCTATGAGCTAGTGAGTCCATCGAGCGTACTTTTGGGAGCACTTTTCCTTGCATCGCGCCTGAGCTCGCTGGCAGGGCCGCGCGGCGATGCCCAGCGGCCCCAGGTCGTACTTTTGAGTGCCCCCCGCCCCGTCTTCGTTCGAAAATACAATCGCCCCATCGAACGTTTAAAGAATGCGCTCCAAAATGCGACTCCCCCGAAGCATCCGCAAATTCTACTTGCGAGGACGCCCCCTCGAAAGTGCGGCGCCGTACTTTTGAGCCCCTCCCCCCCTCCCGCCATCCGCTTGCATGCACGGTGGCCCTAGCGACCCTGCTTTCCCGTGTTCCCGCTCACACTGCCAGAGACTTCCCTCGCCGCCCACAGCCAACGCCAGTTCCCGACCGAGCGACGCCTACTATACCCTCCTGTCGGAGGGTTGGGCATGGGGCACCTTCACGTTCACATGTGGCGGGTTGCAAAAACCCTGAATCAAAAAAACTAGGAGGGAGGGGGGGTGGGGGGGTGGGGGGGGCGATTTTCACTTCCGCCGCCTTCCGCCGGCCTGCTGCCACCTTCCGCCGGAGAAAAGTTGCCAACTCATTCGATCGTCGAAGGCGTGGCCCTTCTTGGAATCCGCCTGTATGGTACGTTGGAACGACACATCGATCTCTACCACCGCAGGCTCCCAATCAGACTGGCCCGAGAGATGTGGAGGTGAGCTGCGAACGGCGATTGGACTCTATCAGACCCATTGGCCTCCATCTGAAATACTTGAACGAGCGGCGAACGGCGATTGGACTCTATCGGACCCCTATCGGCCTCCATCTGATTCCATTGAACTCCATTGGGTTCCACAGAACCCCGTTGGGCCCCCAAGGGAGCCACTTGAGGAGAAAGACGCGATACCATGGGATCCCACGTCGCCCGATCGCTTCCCGATCTGGCACTCCTCGATGGTGAAGAACGAACCCGATAGAGCCACGAACCCCGATCTTGGACCGCAGGCGGGCAAGACTTGCGAGAAAAAACAGGTCAGCAAGGGGATGCAAGCAGGGCGTCCCGTCGGCCACCGTGCCGCGAGGCACGAGTCGGAGGGTTCCCAGGTCCCCGGTTGCCTTCTGCTTGAGTCCTCAAGATTGAATCATCGACGACGCCTGCGGCGAATCACCGCGGCCCCTGCCTTTTCAGAACGCCCATGCTGCCAAGCGTTGGGCCGAAGTCTGACCAAGCTATTGGACTGCGTTCCCCTAGCCGTTGTGGAACCCCTTGTGGGGACCCTTGGGAGGGGAATCAAAAGAAGGACAAAGAAAACAATACTCTGAATTTCCTGACGCCCATGGGCCCCTCTTGGAACGCTGGAAGCCCGAAGAGGCGAGAACGCTAACATCTGTTCAAACCCGGAAGGAAATCACGGATGTTGGCCTTTAGGGGATCCTCCTGGGCGTCTTGAAACTCTTGGAGACCTCTTGGGGGCCTCCTGGCTTTCTGAGGACGTCTAGGGTCCTGCCTGGGCAATCATCAGTCTCTCTCTGGGCGCTTGGAGGCCATCCTGGAAATCTCTGGGGCCGTCTGCGCTCGAAGCCGCAACTGCAAGTTGTGGCCGTTTTGTGTAGGTTACGAGGTTCTCTTGAAGTTACGACGGGCGGCTTGGGTTCTCTCTGTGAGATCCCCTCGAGGTTTGTTGGCGTCGTTTCCAAGGCTCGTGGGTCTGTCTCAGGTCCCTCAGGAGTTGTCGGGGGGCATAGTCAGCCGTGTTCGGACCACATTGGGGCCGTGCTGGAGGCGTCTCCAGCTGCCCTGTGGCCCGCTTGGGCAGTCTTGAGTTTCTCTTTTGGATCCCAAGGGCGTCCTGGGAGCCTGTTGGGGATCTCTTGGGAACCCCTTGGGGCTTCCGCGGGGTCTCTCCGTGGGCGGAGAGCTCGAAACTTCGGCTCGTGCTCCCCCTCTGGGGCGTCTCGGGGAGCCTTCCTGGGGCCTTCTCGTGTCGTCTTGGAAACCTCTTGGCCAGGCTTGGGAGCCTGTTGGGCCGTCTGGGCGCAGGAGAGAGGAGGAGGGGGAGGAGGGGGTTAGACGCGACAACAGTACTCGATTCAAAACGAAAACCCAACACAGGAGGGTTGGGAAACGCAACGAGCACGTTGTGATTTCGTTGGGCAATGCAAACAACCAACTCGTGACAATCCTGTGCCACAAGGCAATCTGCGGGATCATGAAGAAAAATGATGCCCAGGAGAAGCAATCGGGGGAGAGAAGACAGCCGCCTTCGTAATAAAAACATGTAGAGGAGGAAAGGTGGGAGGAGAAAGAAGGATGAGGAGATGGAGGGAGAGATCACTCTCGGGGGGGAGGAGGAGAGCGCGGCCTTTAGTGGCATCCCCCCTCAGGGAGGAAGAGGGAGAATCGTGCTCCCTCGCACGAGAGTGCCCCACCAGACCGCTTGCTGTTGCCCAGAGCAGAAAAGCCAAACAGAGGGGGGAAAACCTGAGAACCCCTGTCCGTCAGGACATCTTTCCCTCATCGCGATCCCTGCGCCGCCCCCCCCCCTGAGGTGGAGGGAAAGACGACGACGGCCATGGCCAAGATTGAAAGCGAAAACGTCGGTGTCGATCTCGGTCACCGTCCATCGTGGCCGTCGTCGACTTGTGACTCGTGCTCGCGGATCAGAGAGGCCGACCTGGGGCATGACCAAGATCGGCGTGGAGAAGATCTCGTGGCATCTTGGTCATGGTCATCATCTTTCTTTTTCGGGGCCCCAAACCCGTGTGGTGACGGACCTAACGACGACCTCACCGCGTTGTCCGTGACTGCAGGGCTTCGGAACCTCGGAGAACGACCCGAGTCCCAAAATCGCGCGGTGACCCCGAACCCCCACTGACTCCCCACGCGGGCACGGCAAAACTTATCAAAATTGCCCGAGGGCTTGTGAGATACCCCGCCGCCTTCTGGGAGGGCCTCCTCCTTCTCGCTTCCTCTTGAGCAGGGACCGACCGTCCCGGTATGTCTATCAGCCTACCGCGACATGTTCTTAGAAACCAAAAGTGTTCTGATAACAAAAACCATGTTCTTAGAACGTACGCCTCATGTGTTAAACAAGACAATCCCAGCCAGAAATGTTCTAAGAACATGTCGTGCAAACCACAACCTGTTCTTAGAACATTCTTTGGCAGGCCTATAGGCACGCCAGGACGCTTCGCCACTGCTTGATTCTGAGAGGGCCTCCTCCTTCTCGTTGCCTCCCATCGCTCGCCGCCGAAGGATTGCCCCGCGGGGCCCCCACACACGCGACAGATGTCGGCTACACGCAAGAGTGACCCTAAGCACGAGTGACCTTTGGTGTGCGGCTTCACGGGGGACGCGGAATGGCCAAGTCTGGGCGCGCAAGCCGCTGCTTTCGCTTCGCCTTCAACCATCTCGGGACCCACCTGTGCCCGCACCAGAGGCCACTCCGGCGAAAGGTCACTCTCACGTCTAATCTTAGGTCGGGCCTGTCCCCCTACAGGAGGATTTTCGACGAAAAATACAAGATACCCAAGAAATACTCAAATAATAATCAAAAAATAATCTGGGGACTATTTTTTGAATATGTTTTGGCCTTTTCAGGGGTATTTTGACGGTATTTCTTATTTTTCGTCGAAGATCCCCCTGTAAGGGGACACGCCCGACCTAAGCCCAATCGACCGCCGGGGGGAGGACCCGCGCGCGGGGCGCCTCGCCGGGCCTCGGCGGCGGGAGCAGCCCGTCGTGCGTGAAGTCTGCGCCGCCCTGCGCCGCCGGGCGGCCCGGGGCGTGCGGCGCACCATCGGGGAGGCCTCCCAAGCTTTGTGGGCCCCGGAAACGGCAGGGCCGGTTTTTTAACGGTTTCCAAACAATGCCCCTTGAAAATGAAAACGGCGCAAAAACGGCGACCGGAAACGGCCAAAGAACGGCTCCAGGATTGGAACCGGAGATGGAACGGGTCAAAGAACGGCGACGGAACCGGTAAAAAAACGGCGTCGGAACCGGTAACAAAAACTGCAAAAGGGAGCCGGTAAAAAAACGGCCCTGTCGTTTCCAGGGCCCACTGAGCTCCCAAGATGGGGTCGGTGCAGATTTGGGTCGAGGCTCGAGGGTCGAGGCTCGAGGCTCGAAGGTCGAGGGTGGAGGGTCGTGGCTCGCCCTTCCTCCCCAGGAGGCGGGAGGGCGGGGCGGCGCTCCTCCGTGCCCCTCCTCAGCCCCCTCGCCCTCCCCATGCTCCTCCTCCCCCTCCTGCGCCCCCCCACGGGCGGGTTTTGGCAAAAAGTTGGAAAAGACTCAAAACATGCCCACGCATGTCCAATCAATACCTGAAAAATCGTCCCCAGTCGACTACTTTTGAATAGTCCCCCTGTAGAGGGACACGCCCGACCTAAGAGTAGATGGGCTCCGATCGCGCCGCATCGGCGGTGCATCAGCGACGTCGGCGAGGCATCGGCGCCATGGGAGTGGAGAAAATCGGGTTCCACATCGAGCCGCATCGCCGCATCGCCGATGCATCGACGGTGCGGCGGGATCCGATCCCATCCACTCCGACCCCATCCAGGCGGCTTAGAGCATCGCTCAACAGATCCCTGTGCCCACCGGGGCGGCCTGGGCCCCACTGGCCGGTGTGCCCCCATGGAAGGAGAGATAGAGATAGAGACTGTCCCCTTCGGGTTTCGAAGGGCTTGTGCCCAACTGGGGTGGTGGGATGGTGGGGTTCGGGATGGAGATGGGGATGGGGGATCGGAAAAACGATACCGATGCGAGAAAGGCGCCCAACACACCACACGATGCTTGAACTTTCCAGGCCCCTCCCCAACGCGGTACGGTGTATAGCGTTTTCTGCTCTCAGGGCCGAGATGCGATGCACCGTCCCGTTCCTGGGTCGAGGATCGACGACGCCTCGGAAGACGAGGACGCCGTACAATGCACAGAAGTCATCCGTGGTGGTGTGGCCCAGAACTGGTTTTAAGTCGGGCATGTCCCCCTACAGGGGAATCTTCGACGAAAAATAAAACGTACCCCCCAAAATGCCCCCAAAAAGGCCAAAACATATTCAAAAAATAATCCCCAAACTATTTTTTGACTATTTTTGGGGTATCATACATTTTTCGTCGAAAATCCCCCTATAGGGGGACAGGCCCGACTTAAAACTGGTTCCGGCCACCAGAACAGGGGAGCAACGGGCCCTCTGGTTGCCAAGGCTGGACGCGGCTCGAAGCACCGGCTCGAAACACCGGTGCGTTTTGATCCCAGTGGGGGTCCGGGGAATGACTTTGAGCGGATTTGACCTCAACTCTCGGGTCGGGCGAAAGGGGGGGATAGCAAAGGGGGGGGGTGAGAATCAGCTCACGTAGCTGATTCTCCCGGCGCCTCCCGGCGCCGGGAGCGGCCATGTATCGAGGAATTGGCCCTTCGGCGAGGCCGAAACCAGCTGCATGCAGCAAATTTCGTAACCCCCCCTTTCCCGATCCCCCCCTTTCGCCCGACCCGAAACTCTCATCCACCCCTCTTGAACGATCCGTATGGGCTCATCCGGCACAGACTTCCCCTGGCCACCTCCAGCCCCCTTCTCTCTTCACGTCGTGAGAAAGGCACGACGGATGTTGTGCGGCTTCTCAGTGCGGTTTTCGTCGGGGTTTGGAAGTTTCCCAGCCTCGGGAAAGGGCTCCTGCAGATGCGCCTCGCCGAGAGCGTTCTGGGAATGCCCGCATCGTCCCGAACGGCCGCCAGAGGCCAAAGGTATGACCCGAAAACCACTCCTCCTCCTCGAAAAGAGGAGGGGGAGGAGGAGGAGGAGGAGGAGGAGGAGGAGGAGGAGGAGGAGGAGAAAGGGAAGACGGGAGGGAGGGAGGCCTCCGGAGGCCCTCACTGAGCCCCAGGGCCATCAAATCTACTCGGGATGCAGAGCTGGCCCCAGGGAAAGGGCCCCGACCTCTGAGAGACCACGCCGTGACAAACCTCACGCCGGATGTCTGGGATCTCCGCCGCACCCCCCATCGCTGCGGCCAGTACGCATACATGTGGGACCTCCGCCGCGCCGGCCCCATCGCCGCGTCCAGGTCGCATCATGTTGGGCGCCCAAGTCGGCCTGTTTAGCCAAGGCTTGGCTGAGAATGCAAAGGTACCCTGTAAGGAATATCACGAATCCTTGGAAGACCGCCCAAGCATTTGTTCTCCTTCAACCGCAGGGAATGATACTACCACAGACCAGTGCGTCGATCTGGACTGAGGACGCTGCTCCCACCCCCGCGATTTGGAGGCCTCCCAAGCGGGGCCCGAGTAAATGGGGTTGGAGGGTCGCGCCGCGTCGCCGGTGCATCGGTGGTGCATCGGTGATGCATCGGTGATGCATCGGCGACGGCCGTCGGCGATGTAACGGCAACGGCGGGATGGAGAAGAACAAGCTCCGGATCGCGCCTAACCGCCGATGCATCGGCGATGCGGCGCGATCTTCCGACTCCATCTACTCAAAGCCAATGTGAAGGGCCTTGATCTCGCTCTCCTCCTGCCCCTGCTGCCTGCTGTCGCCGCCTCCTCTCGAAGATCGTTGTCCACGGTCTGTAACAGGGGGGCCAACCGACGACGATGCGGGAAAGATTTGAACGTGTTCAGTCTTTTGGGGGGCGTCCTGGGGGCTCCCTCATGATTTACGGCTGGACGCAGGTCGAAAACCTGGCCACAGTGCGGTCAAGGATAGATCGAGGCGAACGACCTTGATATTTTGAGGCCAAGATCGAGCAACGATCCATACCTTGTGTCGTCGCAAACCCTAGCGATGCTATTGTTTTACCGCTAGTCCTCACGATTTCGACCTCGTAGGGCAGTGTCGGGAGCCTGGGCCATAAAACGACCCGCGGCGAAGAACTAGCTGCCCCGAGGGTGGGGCCGAGATCTCCAGCCGCCAACGTCGCGCAAAAGTCACGACGTCGTAGGTCGAAAAAGACAAGGTCGAACCTCGACACTCGCTCACCCAGGGAGGGAGCAGATTAGCGAAGGGTGAAGAAGGGGTGAATGGGGTGAGGAGGGCCGAGGAGGGGTGAGGGAGAAGACTGAGGGAGAAGGTGGAGGCCAGCGTAGGTACGTACCCGCCGGCGCTGGGCATTCTCACTACCCAGGACAAGCACACGCTGGCTGGAATCATGTCCGCATCATTGTTCGCTGGAGGCTTTGCGTGCATAGGAAGGAGGTCCACACGGTTGTCATGTTTCCTTCATGGGCGTGAACCTGATGCGCCGTATGTAATACAATGTGGGCCACGCCAGAACACTCCTCAATGCCCGTATCGCGTTATGCTCGGTGATGGGCAAATGGCCTATCCATGATCATGTTGCCTTGGGCGGGCAACTGTATCCCGGATTAGTTCGCATCCGATACACCGTACAACATTGACAACTACATGGAGATTGTCATGAATAGTCTGGGTTCGAACTCAAGGTTTCGAGATGCGTTCGAAATGGATAGAAGTCCCAGAGCTCTTCCTGACGCAGCCCTGGAGGCTTTGCAGCGAAACCCAGTCATGGGCATCATGTCAGAGTGTTCGTCGCTCCCTCGTGTGTTTTGGATGGATTTCTTCAGAAGGGCATTGCTCATAAATGGGATTTGAGGTTTGAGATGTTTGGCCGTTTCATTCAATGATTGGCGCTTCGCCCACGCGATCAGGCCAGCACTCAAGCATGTGCTCGTTCAGTGATGGCGCACGCACCTGTGAGTTTGCAAGCTGCCATCATCTGCTGGAACAAATAAATCGGACACACCCGTGGAGCAACATGCGCCCTGCTCATTTGCACACTCATACCAGGCAGGGAGGACAAGGAAGGAGGACAGGAGAAAGATGGAATAAGAGAGGAGGGAGTAGGGAATATGCACAGAAGGGTGTGGATGATCGATGAGTCGGCGGAAGCGGAAGGGGCAAGGGGATGACAAAGGAGAAGAAATGGGGGACAGGCTTGTCCTCCTCGGCTTGTCCCACACCCTCCCCACCCTGGCTCGAGAGCCTCCTCCATTGTCCCTTCCTGGACGTTTCCTCCACCTCTGGCCTCTCCCCAGCCGGCGATATCAAACGGTGACCCCCAGACATCTCCAGGGGTGAGCTCTGACCAGAATTTTGAGGGGGTCTGGCCGTGGCGACGAGAAGCCTTCTGGAGGCCCAACAGGAGTGACACACACACACACACACATCACCCAGATCCCAGTACCCAGACCCCCGACGTCATGATGTTTGTCAGAACGTCGGCCCTGGGAGGTCGCGACCCATTCCCCGGGACTGGCCTCTCGTCCTGCATCATATGTTGACGGTCCCGAGGCCCAATGAGGGCCCCCAAGAGGCCGAAAGCAGCGAAAAACCTCCCGTGGTGATTTTTTCCAGGACCCGATGGGGGTCTGTGTACCTCGAAGCTCCTCCTCCGCCCTCTCCCCCTCCCTCCGCCTATCCCTAGGCGAGTCGCCGGGCGCGCACACCCGTGGCGACGGCCTCCCTCCTCCTCGGCCTCCTCCCTCCTCCTCCTCCTACTCCTCCTCCTCCTCTTACTCCTCCTCCTCCTCCTTCTTCTCCTCCTCCTCCTCCTCCCCCTCTTCCTCCTCCTCCTCCTCCTCCTCCTCCACCTCCTCCTCCTCCTTTTCCGTCGGCGACTAGGCAGAGTCACTGCGCTGGCGAAAAGAGCGTGATGTGGTGCACGGAACGCGAATTAGGCCACCATGCAAGAGGAGGAGGAGGAGGAGGAGGAGGAGGAGCCCGGCGGCGGCGAGGGGGGGAGAAGCCAGTCCCGCTCACAGCAGGGCCAGGTGCGTGGCAGGGGCGGCGCGGCACAGAGACACACCCACATACACACAAGCACACAGACAGAGGGCGCCGCGGATGCGGAGCGCAGGAGGGAGGGCGGCAAGCTTGCAGCCGCGCATGCCCCAGCGGCCTGCAGAAGTAATGCAGCCTCTGTCGCCGACGGAGGGGGGCGCAAGACGGGGCGAAGCGAGGGCCAGGGACAGACTGCGCAACGAGTGACCGACCGAGGAGGAAACGAGACCCGAAACCACGCAGGGGCACCGGAGAAATCTAGCACCAACGGTTGAAGCAGTGCAGAAGCGCAAACTGTGTCTCCAACGGTGTCGGCGGGCCTCTTCGGGGGCGTTTTCGGGAAGCTCAGAGATGTTTTTCGGGCGCTGCGGTCATCCACGCGCGGTGTACTTGGCAATCCTGAGTACGTCCACCCCTGGCGCGCAGCGCCAACCGCGGCGGTCAGTCAGACGTGTCCGATACTCCAGCGTCGAGTGGACCCGCAGGTCCGACACTGGTCGCAGACCTTCGCACTCTCACGCCCAGGGCGGCTCTCTCAGCGCTTCGCTGGGGCCAGTCCGCTCAACTGAAAGCAACGCTCCCCCCTCCGACTCAGTCCTGCCTGTCTGGCTTTCTGTCGGGCCTGTCCCCCTACAGGGGGATTTTCGACGAAAAATTAGAAAATACACCAAAAATGCACAAAAAAAGGCTAACAAATTCCCCCAAAATAGGCCTCAGACTATTCTTGGATTATTGTTTGACTATTTGTGGGGTATCTGTTATTTTTCGTTGAAAATCCACCTGAAGGGGGACATGCCCGACGTAAGTCTGGCATCCAATCGCCCCCCCCTCCCAGGGCTGTCGTCCTGGAAGACCTGCTCTGGGACTGACTCCTTCAGCACCTGGCGCGCGCGAGGCACAGCAAGGACAGCGCGACCGACAGGTCAGGTCGGCCTCCTAGAGACTGCAACGCATGACCTCATAGCTATGCCTCGCCTCCTCCTCGTCGTCGTCCTCCCCGTCCTGCACCATCTCCTTCATCATCACTCACCCCTTGTCGTCTCCCACGCTTGAAACATCTGTCGTAAGGAGCGTGCCCGGCGCGACCCGCAATTAGGGGCTTGTCCTTGCCAAACAAATCCGCCTAGGCAAGTTTCATCAACCGAACGGTGCACCCAAATCGTGGTGCGCAGGCAAACTGAAGGCACAAAAATGGCATGTTCAAGACAGCAGAACAGCAACCAGACAGACAAACCAAGGACACACTGAACACCAAAAGGCAAGCCAGAGCGCAAGACAGAACCATGGCCACTGCAATTGAACGTCCGCGCATGGAACAAATCAGAACATTGCGCCTGCAAATTCACATGGGCTGCAGAGGATCGGCATGAGCAAAGGATGACGAGGGGGCACGATCCCGCACGATGCTCTGAACCATCGGCCCGTGATCTTGTCACATCAGTGTGCCCCGCCCCCCTCTGCAATCTACTCCATCACCTCCCCTCCTCACCCTTTGCTTACGAATACAGGCCCCCCTGTGCCCTTCTCCGTACCCTCTACACTGCACGTTCTACACTCTACTCTCCTCTCTGCCGCGCCAACACCTTGGCCGCTGCCCAGAATCCAGAAACATCACACTAGAACGCCAGGAACCAGGCCACACCACCAGAATCGCCCCCCCTCGCCTCTCCGCCAGCCGTCCTTTCTTCGGCGAGGCTCTGGATCCCGCAGAGGGCAAACCCAGCCAAGCCGCCGCGTGCTGGGCTCGGCCAGGCACCCCGCAACGATCCCGTCGCCCTCCCCGACGCCACTCCCGACGCCCAGCCCCGCGCCATGCCCCACGCCCTGCCCTTCGCCTAGCCCCACTCCAGCACGACGAACCCGACGACGGACCCGACAACCGCCACCCACTCCAGCACAAGTGTCGCCGCCGTTGTGTCCGCAGCCCCGTCGCGGGTGGCCCTTCTCACCCGGCCCCTGTTCTAGCCCGTCTGCTTGCGGTTGCTCCCCTCTCCCTCCTCGTCTCCCGTCCCTCCTCTCCCTCGCCTTCTCCTTGCTCGCCTCCCTTTCCTCTTGCTCCATGCCTGCTGGCTGCCTCCGCCTGGCCCCTCTTCTGCCTGCCCCCCTGCCCCGCCGGCCCTGGCCGTCCGCCTGCGCGTTCGTCGTCGTCTGCCTGCTTGTCCCCTCCTCGTCTCCGTCCGCCGGGCAACACTGCCCTCCCGGGGCCGACGTCGGAACTTTGTGACCACATCCGTTCAATCGCCACGAGGACCCTGTTCGGGGAATCTCGGGAAACCTGGACTCCAGGAGGGCGGTCGCTCAGCAGAGTTGACCTCACACATCCGCCAACCCCGCCATAAATTAAGAATCGCGGAGGCCCGACCGCCGAAATCGCCCCGACATTGCGCCGCGTCTTGACAATGCCCGCGAACACCCCTTTTGCGCAAACACTATGGCACACTAATAGCAAACACCAAGCAAGCTGAAAAGCAGTGCAATGGTACCCTCCCTGTGCGCGATGCGAATATATGTGGACAGTCGGCACTGGCACTGCAGGGAATGCAGTGAAGGCGCCACTGAAATCATAAGTCTAGCGAGCGCACTGAATCGTAGCGTCAGGCCACACTGAGGTCACTGAGATAACGTGCAGGATGCGCAGCCAAAATTAGATGAAGAGGAGAGGGGAGTGAAAATTGCGAATTGTTGCTCCAATGCCCAACGCCACTGGCTATTTTGGTAGACCACCCTCCGTGCACGATGAGGTTGATTGGGAACTCCTCCGCCTCATGCTTTGACGAAAAGAAAAAAATTGCCTATCTTGTGGTGCGCCCGCGACGTCACCCCGCTTAGGCCGCACCTGTCGATGGAGGAGCCTGGAAAGAGGTGGGCAGGACTGCCTACCAGAAAAGCGGAAACCTTTGTTTTATCAGCGGCGTGCGTGGGACACGAAGTGCCGAGTACGCAGCTGCGAACAACGGAAGCACACACGGCTGGGCTCCCAGGAGGAGCACATTGAGACCACGCGCTATATATACCCGTGCGGAGGCCCTGCGTGCCTGGCAATATCAGGAGCATGTGCACAACAGGACTGCGCGCGTGACAACAAAGGTAAAAAGCATGCTGTCACGGAAAGCGGGTGAAACAGAGGGAGGGAGAGTGGGAAGGAGGAGGGAGGGAGTGATTCACAGCAGGCAAAGATTCACAGAAGTAAAGGGGAGAATCCACATGGGGCGTTGATTCACGAACACCGCCCGGGGCCAGGGCAATCCTGAGCCCTAGTATGGTGCATACGTAGACCCTTCGGACCTCGGCCAGGAGGGCATCATGCACCACGCCAGGGCCCAGGCATGGTTATGGTGTGTGATGGCTTACTGTTTAAAGGAGGGGGGATGGGACCGCGAGCAGAGAGCAGGGCTACAGTACGCTTCCTGGTTGCTCGTTGCGCTGAGAACCAAGTCCACTGTTGGCGGAGTCGCGCGCGCAAAGCAGCCAGTGCTCATAATGAATCACACTGCTCCTGTACTCGGTGCCAAAATGGTCGAAACGTGCATGGCTACCCACCAGACCGCCCCCAATCCAATCCGAAACCACCGTTCGACTTGTCCATTTCTGGTGGGAGGGGGTGCACTCCAAAGCAATGAAGAAGCACGATGGAAACCGTACACCCCCCAACCCGAAATTCGGGAGGGCCTGGGACCTTCCGGTTGGGCTGGGGTGGCTCTGCAGGTCGTGAGCTAAAACCTGTGCGTTGACTGCACCTTGCATGCCACCTCGACACTTGGGACATCGCCACCTCGAGCCGCATGCAGTTACGATGCGCCCTGGCATTTGTACGCCCGTTGCTCTTCCTTCACAGGAGGAGGAGGAGGAGGAGGAGGAGGAGGAGGAGGAGGAGGAGGAGGAGGAGCGCGGCAAGCCCGCCTCGTGCGCCCTGCCTGCGACGCGCTCGGCGACGTTCTGCACCCTGGCGGCATCAACCGCCTCCGGGCGCGCGCGGGGCAGCCCCCCCCACCCTCCCTCGACGGTGAGGCCTCTTTGGGCGAGACGTAAGACTCGGGCTCGGGGGACCCAGGCTGGCCTGACCGGGGCCGTCAGGAACATGACGAGACCCAGTCTGAAATTTGACGCGACCTCCCACTGTAGACATCCCGAGAACGCTGGCCTGTCAAACATCGGGGAAAAAGGCCGGGCAAAAAGCGTGGGCAAACCCGAGCTCCGGCGAACCCGAAACTTGTGTTTCCCCGACTCCTGCCACACCAACAAAAAAACAAGAAACGGGTCCTAAAGGAAGCGGGTCCTGCACCCTGGGGCCTTTTCTCGGGACTAGTTCTTCATCCCGAATCGCTCTCTGACGCTCCTGGAGCCCGCGGAGGGCTCTTGGAGGGCACAAGCGGCGACACGCCTCAGGACCCGTTTCGCCCAGGACCCGCCCCCTTCGCAGCGATCCGAGCAAGGCCCGCTGGACCATCGGCGGCTCTCCTCCCCTGGACTGGCTGGCCCACGGCACGAACTGGGCTCGCACCGTCCCTCGCCCCACCCTCGTCCACCCTCCTGCTCTCCCTTCCTCCTCCACGCTGCACCCCACCTCCTTCTCCAACTCCCCCCCGTCCTTCCTCCCATCCCCCCCATCTTCACATCCGGCGTGGTGACTTCGTCTACAGCGTGGCTCCTCAAACACCTTGACCCTTTCTGGGCCATGACTCTTACCCTGAGTCGCGTCTACCAGATCCTGAGTCTGGGGTTGCTCTTGCTCGTGGGACCTCTCCGCCTCTTTGTCTCTCTTCCAGCTTCCTCTTTCCTGCTCCGTCCCACATCAGATTCCCACTCACACTCGGACTCCACGATACTGAGGCCCACTCCCACGCAGGCCGCTCGCACTCATATCCACACGTACTCATCATAGACAAACCCAGACCCATGCACACAAACCATTCACTCATACTCAGACCAACTCATATTCAGACCCACCCGTCATTATTACACACACTCAGATCACTCATGATCAGGCTCACTCTATCCTCACGCAAAATTGCACGAAAATCCTTGGGCATCCAAAGGGTATTACACGAGCCCGTTCGCTCCCAACGTGTGGTCTGGCATCCCCGGCTCCTCTCTTCTGGCGATCTCTTAAGCGAAACGCTGCTCTGGCATCCCCGGCTCCTCTCTCTTCTGAGATCTCTCCAAGGCCACCACGATGTGGCAAGAATTGCAGTTGGGCATCCCGGGGAATTGTACGGGCCCGTTGGGACGCAGACTCTGGAAACCTCGCGGACAAATCGCTGCTTGGGCGCTCCCGACTCCTATCCTTGCAGAACGCTATGGTGCAGTGTACTTGGGCCACGCCCGGTCGCGCCCATTTAACCGGAGTCTGTCATGTCCAGTGGCCGTCTGTGGCTCATGGCGCGCCTCCTGGCAGAGCTCCACGATCACTCCGATACTCACTTGGGCATCCCAAAATGCTTTGGCTCTATGCCCACGCAGGCCCACTGTGAACGACGACGGCATCGCAGTGGGAAGACGATTCGCGCATCGAGGACTATCGACTGCGCGCGCCAGGAGCCCCAGGGACAACGCGCCACTGATAACGATGCGTGGTGGTCGAACCTGCACGTGCAGTCGTCGCGCGCCTCGCTTATGACTGCCACGATTTAGCATGAGGGCAGCGGACCCCGAGGAAACCGGATCCTGGACCCCGGGGGCCTTCCCCAGGACGAGTCCTTCATCTCGAGTCGTTTTCTGCCAGTGCCGGGGCCAGTGGAGGGCCCCGAGAGCCCGGAAACGGCGGAAATCCTTGGGACACGATTCCCGCAAGGCCCGCGTTCTCCACGGCGTGGCTACAAAAATGGTACGTGAAAGGGCGCCTCGACGGTCCGAGTTCCAACGGACGGCACTACTACTTCGGCAAGCCGCGGCGGAGAGCAACAGAAAGCACGGCTCGCATTCCGACTCACTCTTGCTGACCTGCTGCCAGGGAGACGCTCAGAGCGGGAAGAGCAACAGCATGAGATGCACATGTGGTGATCTCCGCGTCGAGGAGGTGACTGAGGCCCCTGGATCCCCTCGGAAGCCGAGAACGGCAACAACAACGTGGCGAGATGATGTCAGTGCTGGTCCGTCGTCGTCCTCGTGGCGCTCCTCCTCCCTCTCCTCCTCCTGCACCTCCTCCCCGGGCTTGTCGTCAAAGAACCTCTGGGCCCAAGTACCCGGATGACGGGAGCAACGAATGCATACACATAAGCCGTCGGAGCAGCGTGCGGATTTCCTGGATCGGCGCTGGGCCCTCCTCCCTCGCGCGCAGAGCACCGACCACAGATATCTCCGCGCGGCTACAGAACCTACTGCCTGTGCAAGTCGCTCTGCTTCGAGATCCGTCGTCGCAAGGCATCTGGCCTCGGGTTGGGCGCCGCACGCACGGCGGGCCCCCCCCCCTGCCTTCTGAGCCTCCTTCACGGCGCCCATGAGGCCTTCGCCGAACCTCTCGCGGCCGCTGGGAGGCCAACGGCGCGCGATCTTCCCGGCGGGGCGATCTTTTCCAGGCGCAGGCCCTCTGCCTCGGCCAGAAAACCAGGATGCCCATGGGGCCAAGACAGCCTGGACGAGGGACAGGCTTCCACAGGCATCCCGGGGAACCTCGAGGAGGCAGGTCCTAGAAACAGAGAACATCAAGAAGAGGTACGTGGCGGCCGCGCTCCGCGCGAGCCACTCTCCCCCGGCAGGCCCAAGACCAGAGGGCACGCATGCGCCGCAAGAGAGCCACTGAAGCAAGGTCAAGCAGTGAAACCAGCCTAGCGGGTCGAGGAAGGAGCGAGGTTGGCGAAGGAGGGGGAAGGATGAAGGGACCCTTTGTTTTGTTGGAGTGCCAGAGCTGTCTGATAATAGACCGTGTTGTGCCCCAAGAATCCAACGAGAAAACCCCAGTGCACGGTCCGACACCGCATCGTCTTAGGACCTTGCAGGCCCCAGCCGTCCAAGACATCCTGGGAGAACGACCCAAGTCCCAACGCCGCGCGGCCACCCCAAATACCTACGGACTCACCCGATGGAGTTGGTCACCGCACCGTTTTGGGACTCGTTATTTCTTCGTCGCGGGGGTATGGTGGTCCGGGGGCCCGAGCACGACAACCGAGTCCCCAGGGCCCGTCGTGGAGGAGGAGGAGGAGGAGGAGGAGGAGGAGGAGGAGGAGGAGGAGGAGGAGGAGGAGGAAGGAAGGAGGAGAGGGAGGCAGAGGGAGGAGGAATCTCGCCTCAGCATCGCCCCCGCCCCCCCCGCCCCCGAGCATGGGCCCCCTCCCCAAGGCAGGCTTGCCATCCAGAGTGCGCATCGTGGTTGGCGGCCGCATCGTCCAGAAACTGCCTCCGGCAACGAACTCAAAAACCTTCAGGGACGGTTGGTTCCGAGCCGTCATTCCGATCCCAGGAGTCTCTGGAGCTCATGCGAAGGTCTCTGGCGGGAGCGCCGCCCGCCAGCGACAGCGACGGCGGATAGCACACGGCGCGGGCACTGGGCCCCCCGCCGCTCCTGCCGACCCGCCATTCAAACGTACGCAGACCCGCCCCCCCCTTCCCCTCATCATCCGAGGCCGGGGTGGCTAAAAGCAATGGCGATTCCCTGCTCCGTCTTCCTTGCCTGTGTCGACCGGCTCCTCCTCCTCCTCCTCCTCCTCCTCCTCCTCCTCCTCCTCCTCCTGTTCTTCCTGCTCCTCCTCCTTTTCCTGCTCTTCCTCCTGTTCCTCCTCCCTCCGTCCCCCTCCGCATTCCCCCTCCTCCTCATCCTCCTCCGCCGCCTCCTCCTCCTGGCCCTGCTCCTCCCAGCTCCTCATCCCTCCTTCCTGCCTCCTCCTCCTCCTCCTTCTCTTCGTCCTCTTCCTCCTCCTCCTCCTCTTCGAGAATGCCCTCGGTGACGCGAAGCTACTGGAAAGCTTCCCGAGGCGGGCACACCGCTGGGAACCAACGACAACGCCCGACCTGCGGCGTTATACCATCCCGAAGTGTTGCCCCGCCCCCCCCCAGAACTCCGACTCCGACGTCGTGTTTTTGCTCGCGAATTGTTGGGGTCCCGAAACGGTGCGGTGACAAACCGTGCGGTGACCTCGGAACCTCAAGAAGCCTCACCGCACGGTCCGTCGCCGCACGGTCCTGGGACCCTGGAGGCCCCTGTCGCCCGAGACATCCTCGGAAAGGAACTCGAGTCCCAAAACCGGGCGGTGACCCCGAATCCCCACCGACTCACCGCACGGTGTGGTCACCACCCCGTTTGGGGACCCCCGAAACTTGGGTTAAGTCGGGCCCGTCCCCCTACAGAGGGATTTCCGACGAGGAAAAAATAACCCCAACATAATCAAAACATAATTCAAATAATAATCGGGGGACGATTTTGGGGGTACTTGTTTGTCTTGTTGGTGCATGTTGGGACTATTGTGTTTCCATTTTCGTCGAAATCCTCTGTGTAAGGGGGACAGGCCCGACGTAAGACTTGGGCCCGCGAAAGTCTGAACCCTTTCGCCGGGACCCGTTTTTGTTTGCCCCCCAGTCGGTCGTTTTCTGACGGGCCCAGGGCCGGGCGAGTACCCCCGCGATTTTTTTTTTTATAAAAAAAAGGCAAAGACCTCTCGTCGTGTTTTTGCCTGGCGGCGCGCTCGAGGAGGAGGAGGAGGAGGAGGAGGAGGAGGAGGAGGAGGGGGGAGAAGAGGATTTCTTCCTCCTCCTCCTCTTCTTCCTCTTGGTTCCTCCTCCTCCTCCTCCTCGAATTTCGTCCTTGTTGCGAAATTCTCTCCGAGGGAGCGGGATGTTAATGCCCAGTAAAACGACCGGCGTGCTGACCCCCCCCCACCCCTTCGCGACAGGAGGTGCGTCGCGCTTTCGTCGCCCGTGCGCCGCCCGTGCGTCGGCCGCCGAGAAGGCCAGCCGTCCTCTCGAACGTGCACGTCGCCCTCGCAAAGGGGGCAATTTGGTGAGTGCGTCGCCAGCGCGGCGGACACCCACGGGGCGGATCGCACGCGCGTCGCCCACTCCACGGCCGCTGAAAAGGCTGGTCGCTCTCGGGAAAAAGAAAATCGCCCACGCTGCGGCCCTCTTGGCGAGAAGAAGGCGGCCGCTGGGCTACCTCGCCAGATCAGCAAATCCCTCTAACCTTACGAATGCAGCGATGCTGCTGAACGCACCCCGGCACTAGGCCAGGTGGTCCCCGCAGCCGCCGCCACAGCCGCCGCAACCGCCGCCATCGCCAAAACTACCACCGCCATGATCACCGCCTACGGATGCGACCGCAACCGCATCCACCGCGACGATTACGACCAACACCATTTACCGCCATCACCACCACCGCGACCACCACGCTTCTCGCGACCACCACAACGACCGACACCAGCGCGATCACCGACGTGACCACCACCAGCCCGCCCACCGCCAGCGGCACGACCGCCGCCAGCGCGACCGAGGCGACGAACGCGACCACGACCATGATCACCAAAATGACCATTACAGAAGCACCCGCCCACTCCGTCCTCCCCCCCTCTCCCCCATTCCCCTGCCGGGCCGCCCTTGCCGCCGCGCCCGCCTCGCGCCCCTGCCCCTCCCCCCTCCTTTTCTCATCTTAATATTCCTCTTCCACCGCCAGCGGCGGGGCCGCTCGCGGAAGGCGGGGGCGCCGCTCGCGGCGACGCGCCGCGGCCGCGGAAGGGGGGCCGAAAGAGAAAAAAAAAACATTAAGAGGGACACGGGGTGGCAAGGGACAAAAAAAAAAAACGAGAGAGGAGGGGGAAGGACAGACAGAGGGAGGCTGGTAGAAAGGAGGAGGAAAAGGGGAGGAGAGAGGGAGACGAGGCAGGAGGGAGGGCGAAGGAGGAGGAATGACGAAAGAGGAGGGACGACGAGGAAGGAAAAGGGAAAAAACAGGGGCAAGCACCGCCATTCCTGGCGCAATGGAGGACGCAGCTGCCGCCACTTGTGAACAGCGCAAGCACGGCGGGCCGATGGCCGTTGCGCATTGCTGTTCGGAGAAATGCTAAGGACGGGCAAAATCGCGACTGCGTCGCGCATGCGTCGCGCGTGCGTCGCGCGTGCGTCGCGCGTGCGTCGCGTTTGCTTCGCGCGCGTGGCGCGTGCGTCGCGCGTGCGTCGCGCGGGTCGATCGTGCGTCGCGCGCTAGCAGGGGTGCGTCGCGCGAAGGTCGGGGTGCGTCGCGCGCGCGTCGCGCGCGCGTCGCGCGTGCGTCGCGCGGGCGTCGCTCGGGTCGTTCGCGCGTCGCGCGCAGGTCGCGCGCGAATCGCTCGAAGGGCGCCGTGGACTTCTGACGGCATGTGAACTGCACGGCCCGCTGGCGAAACAATCAAGGGACGCGCGCGGGAATCGTAGAAATAGCGAGACACGCACGTGAGATCTACGAGCGCGAGGAGACCAACAGACGACATGGGGATGCAGCGCGTACGGACTAACCCATTTCAAGCGCACGCCCCGTCAGAATTTGAACATCGGTCCGTCGCTGCAGCAATATGGCGACGTCTCGCCCGCAGATGCATTGGGGGGGAAAAAAAAATGGAAGTGAGGCGAGGAAAGGGCGGGCGGAAGAGGGAACGGACGGGCGAGGAGGGGGCGCGCGGGGGCGGCGCAGCGGCGTCGGGAGCGATGGAAGGCGATCGAAGGGGGGCGGCGGGAGCGAGGAGGGCGAGAAGAAGTTCCAGGAGGGTGGAAGGACAACGGGGGGTGAGCAGGGAGGCGGACAGGACGGCAGCCCGACACGAAAGAACGGAAGACAAACTTCGCAAACAAGACAAAACGCGCAGCGCGTTGGACGAGGGGAAGAGGCAGGAAGAGGGGGGGGGCAGGAGGATTGGCGCGAAACGACATGGGGGTCTGCATTTTTCGCTGCAGCGGCCGTTGCCGACCTCGGCCGCCCTCCCTCCCCACAGCCCCCGGGCAACGTCAGGATCCGTGCCGACCTCCGAGCCGGCTCTGGCTATTCCAAGACGTTCCCAGACGGCGCCGGCGCGAAGCACGAGGTTGCTAAAGGGAAATTAGGACACACAAATAAATACACACAAATAAAAGTAGTCCCCATATTTTCCCATATTTTCTGTGTTTTTGTCTTCCCCACCACTTCCCATATTTTTGCATATTTTCCTGGGAGTCGACGATTAATTGTGTCTGTGTGTCTTTTCCCCTCCTGAGTTGCCAGCGGCCGACTGCCCTCCCGCCCCTGTTGCGGCCAGACCAACGACAGAAGAGCACCCTTCAAGAACGTGAGACCCTCCGCCGGCCAACCTGAAGAACGTTCGAGGGTATCCTCCCCCGGGATGCATCAGAACATCCACGGATCACCGAGAACATGAAAGTACCCTCCCCGAACCGACCTCGATCTTCTACCTCGGTCCGACTGTACAAAACTGGGCCCCAAGCAGGCGAAAACGAAGCACCGGTATCAGCACCCTCGCGCGCCGGCTGGCGCGCTCGCAGAGCCCGTCGGCAGCAGGGAGGACCGGAAGAATGAGAGGATCGAGGGGGAGCAGGCGGGAAGATCGAGGAGCCAGGACAACCGAGGATCCGAGAGGAGGAACGCTCATGGAGGAGAGGGTCCAGGCGGAGGAGGAGGGAGAGGATCGAGGATCTGGGACCAACGAGGGCCGAGGAGGATCGGGGAGGGCCGAGCTCCTCCGGCCGTCGGCGCTCGCGCGGAGCCTGGCGGCAGCGGCGGCACCGCGGAGCCGCAGCGCGGCGACCGCCAGGCACGCCGCGAGGCGCTGGAGCATCGCCGCCGCGGGGGGGCACCGCAGTCGCGGTGCGGCGTCCCCCTCAAGGCGGCAGGCGGCGCCCTAAGCAGGAGGGGCGACGCTCGTCCTCGTCGTCGTCGTCGCCGTCGGCGACGACGCGATGCGTCTTCGTCGTCGTCGTCGTCGTCGGGCATCGAGAAGGGGATCAAGCGATGAGGGGGGCGGACCGGGAGGGGGATCGAGCAAGAGGGCGGTCGATCGAAGGTGGGATCGAAGGAGAGGAGGATCAAGGATGAGGAAAAGGTGGAGTCCCCAACCTCTTCTCGTCGCGGAGACATCGCGACTTGAGGTGCTTGACAATTTTCGGGCTCCAGGCCCACTCGCAGGGCCCCGGGACCTTCAAACAGCAACTCCAGATGAAAAGGCGGTCCACGGGAAGGGCTCCAGACCCCTGGGCGTCCACGTCATGAACAACAATGAACTCGAAGGTCTGGAGAGGTTGGTGGGGAGCAGAGGGGGATCGAGGAGAATCGGCGTTCGAGGCTCCTCGGCCAGTTACGGGACAAGCATGTCATATATCATCGAGCGATTCGCAAGAGCTTGGCGCCAGAGGCTCAACAAACACATGGTACGCTACGGTTGGCTCTCTGAGCTCGGAACGCGCTATTGTATCGGACAAGCACGCACGCGCACATCGCTATGCCTGGTCAGATCATGGCTCAGTTACACACGCACACACGAATAACGGCTGCTGCCCTACGGCAGCAACATCGGTGCATACAGCGCGGAGGTCTTCGGGTCGCGGTCGATGGATTGCGTCATGAGCCTCTGACTGATCTCCTGGACGTTGGATGCGCAGAACGGGGACTTCAGCCGGACGCCGCTGAGAAACCGATGGCTGCGGGAGGAAGGGCCAGGAAACTGGCACCGCGCCAGGGCTCCTTGGCGCACCACGCGGCGCCACGTCCTGGACCGACACGCGAGGTCGTGAACAGGAGCCGCGACGGACACACGCTTGCCGTTCCGAGAAGAAGTGTCTGGGGATCCACACGAGCAGACCGCCCGAGACTGCCCCACGATCATGGCACGACCAGGCCCGTGAAGACACCCTGGCGGCCACCCCTCCGGGGTGCTGAAACCAGCGCCTCGCTCGAGGCATCCTCCCGATCTGCTCTGGAAGCACCGATGCCCAAGCCACCAAACAGGCAATCCGCCTGAGACCTTCCCACTGCCCATTGGGAATGCTGGGACCAGCGCATCGGTCGAAACATCCCCACAGCCTGCTCGGAAATGAGTACGAGTGCGTCTGAGTACGTATGAGTCTGAGTGCGAGTGAGCATGAATGCGAGTGAGCAGTTGTAAGATATACGCTGTACAGATGTGTTTTGTGCAGAACTGCTCAGATGACGATGGAGAAGGTGAATACATTCTTTTCTTCCGTAACCATTTTGGCCCAACCAGGGCCCTTGAACTATCGCGGTAACGCTTTGGAAAACATGGATGTTCTTCCGTTGTGTATTGCTGTGCTACATGTTTGTGAAGAACGTGGACTGCAAGCAGGTGTGCAGGCACGACGCGTTCCCCAGCGCGCGCTGATGCCCCGAGCGGCTCAGGAGAGCGCCGTGGCAGCTGCGACGAATCCGCCGAGTGCCACCAGAGCAGCTCGAACACCGCCTGCGCGGCGGACAGCAGCATTATCTCCTGGGCGGCCCTTGCAGCTCGTCTCCATCGGGTCGCCCTGGCACGATCCCGTCGCGTCGCAGAGGCAGGCGTACGGGTAGTCCTCGAGAACGATACCGGTGACCCCGAACAGGAGGTCGGTGGCCTTGAACATGGCGGACTCCGCGCTTAAGCCAGGGATCATGCCCGATCCTTGCTCCAGCATGGTCGCGCCTTCGGAGCTGTTGAGCGTGGCCAATGCGATGCGCGCCGACTCGATGACCATCTCCTCCGACAGGGCGGGTGCAGCCTGGTCGGAGACCTTGGTGAGAGACTCGGGGGGCACGTCCTGAAGGCTCTCGGAGCGCATAATGGGCTGCGTCCTGTATGCCTCGCCGCCAGGGCTGAGCTCCATGGCCACGCGGTCGTTCTGGTCCACCGCGCGGGCCCTCGTGCGCGTGTGCAGCGAGACCAAGAACGCGGCAAGCGCCCCGCTGGCGCACCGCATCCCTGAACGAAGGATAGCGCGCAAATGTGATGAGAATTTAACAGATCCTGTCGACTACTCCTGTCCCTGCTTGAGCCAGGGCGGCTTCAACCAACATGGCCACGGATTTCCGTTTCATATTGATGATTCACACATTGCGGTCAAGAACTTCGAGGGCTTTGGTTCATTCAAACTGGTAGCGAAGCCTGTCGATCACTCGGCAGGCTCGTCGGCACCCGTCATATACAGCGGCTCGCTCGACGGCCCCAACCTCAGCGGCCGCACCTCCACATCCAGCTTCGGCTACATCGGCTGCCAGAGCAGCTCGACGTAATCGAACTCCGGCGAGGTCTGCAACAACAGCACGGCAACACGAACAGCAGCTGAATGTGCTGTTCGTGTCGAGCAGCAGCAGCAGGTGCTCGACACGAACAGCACATTCAGCATCTTCGACGGCACGGACGAGATCAACGCAGCAAAGGCGTTCATCATGGCGAAACAAGTAGCAAGCAGCGATCACCAATCGGTGCTACTCGAAAGGGGAGTTCCAATTCGACGGCACACTACCGAGATGTACGGAACACGAGAAGCGAGTGACCATGTTCATGGCGAAGCGGCTCTCATGCTGTCAGCAGGGACCAGGTCAAGGATTTCACGGCGAACGACCTGATCAATCCCGGCGTCGCCAAGGCACTACTCGAGCGATTAGAAGAACGGTCCAAGGTGGACACCCGACCGGAGTTGGCAGACGATTTCGAATAGAATTTTCACAAGCTCTAGCAGATCAAGCAGGAGACGCTATTCAGCAATATTTCTAGAGTTCGAGCGGCCGAGAGCAGGCTCAAGACGCACGACATCAAGTTGGAAGCAAAAGTTCGAGGATGGCTAGTATTACGACGCGGAAATTACAATTCAGATCAGAAGGCAACCATTATGTCCGTCATGTCCGTCATGGGCAAGGACACCATACAGGAGAACAACCATCGAGGCGCTGGAGACGACCTTCGGACATGAGAGCATAGCATACGAGCCTAATCAGGCTAGGAACCAAGAATCATCGACGGAGACGGAGATGACTGCGAGGAAGACACGTGCTACGGCCAGGGCGACGGGCCCGACCTCGACGACGGTTACGAACAGGAGTACTGGGCGGAAGACGACGACACCTGGTACGGTTGCGACGGCCACCACGCATGACTTCGACCCTGGCGAGTACGACAAGGTGTTCGCAGCCTACCGCGGCGCGAGGAAGAGATTCAACAACCCTGGGCTCGCCCGCGGCTTCTACCCCGTGGTGGCGATGGTCAACCCGTCCGACGGAACAAAGGGGTCACCATCAACCGCCCGACGAGGCCGAGGAGCAAGCAAGAGAGCGAAGGGACGTGCCAGGAGCGCAAAGGGCAGCCCCGATTATGGCAGGAAGTGCAGCCCTGGACGGCAAGGATCAGTCCCATCTTCAACTCAGAACCCATACGTCAAACCACGACTATGGAGACCAACACCGAATTCGGCGACGCGTCTATAATGTGGCAAGACCGGACATTGGGCAAAGGACTGCACGGAGCCACCAAAGACGCGGCCACACTCCTCAGACGAGATAATGGTTGACGGTGTCAACAAGGAGGACAGCAACACCATCCCTGCGTGGCTCGGCATCCTGGACTGTGGAGCTACTACGCCCATGTCAGGTTTGGAGACGATCAAAGATTACCCGGCGGACTACCACGCGAAGGGCTACCTGATCGTGGAGCTCAAGTTTCACAAGTGCCGAAGGCCATTCAGGTTCCGCAGCGGCATGATCGAGCATGCGCAATGGTGCGTCGTCAACCCCGCCAACTTCAAGCAAAGAACCAGGACACTGTATATCGACGTCGTCCCTGGCAAGACGCCAATCTTATTTCCACGACCCCTGCTCGAGGAGTTTGCCGTGCAGGTCGACTACGCCAAGCAGCAGATCGCCTGGAACGGCGGGAGATTCGAAGAAGCTATATCTCCACAGGGCAACCACCTGGTCAACCTCTTGGAGGGCCTGGACGGCCAGACGGTCAATGCCGACCTCGACTTCGAGTACGAGCAGGTGGACGCGGAGTCGTTCGTAGACGTCGACGACCTGACCATCAGCGCCCTGGAGTTCCTGGACTAGATTTACGCTGCAAAGTCGAGCGACGACAGCGAGCAGTGGGGGCAGACTCCGCAACGGGACCACAGCGAAGAATGACCGCAACGAGTCGTGAATGTCGACTGCTGAGGCGCGTACACGAAGCAACACCAGAGCCTCAATCACTCGGAATGTGGCAATCCCTGCTTCACCACGACGCCCATACAGCACAGCCCGTGAACGCAGGTTTGCCCGGGCCTTGCTGGCGTCTAGAGTCTCTAGAGGACCAGTCGAGCAAAAGGTCCAGCAAATTCGACCTGGAGACAGGCAGCGACGAGATAGACAAGGCCAAAGAGGTAACGACTCAGTTCATCGACAGTCAAGTACGCAGCGACCAGCACATGCCGACGATGCGTCGACCAGCGGCCAAGCGCTGCACGACGAGGCGTACTATCTGGGAGGTCTACGCTGGAGATCCCCGCCTTTCTCAAGCCCTACGAGATCTGGGAGCGACGGTCGAGACGTTCGGTCTACATACAGTCGGCCTTGATTCGGCAGGACACGCGAGAGGACACAAGACCCTTCCGAAGGCCACGTTGCCATAGAAATGCAGGAGGCACGAGACGCAAGACACAAGACACGAGGGTACCCTTGATCTAGCAGGTCGACCTACTAATCCGGGCCGCCTGTATCGGATGTGACTTCCCGAAGGCCAACCAGCAGGAGAAAAAAAAAACAGGCTTCTAGAGGAGCAGCCCGACGCGATCCACATGTCCGGCCCAGGGGGGGCTGCCGGGGCTCCGGAGGCCCCCGGCTGCGGGGCGGGAGCGCGCGCCCCAGGCGCGCGGAGGCGCCGGCCTGGCCGCGCCCGCGCTGCTTGTTTGCTTGCTTTTGCTGCTGCCTTCTCTTTCCCCCTCGCTCTCCCCTTGCTGCTGCTGCTGCTGCTGCTGCTGCTGCTGCTGCTGCTGCTGCTGCTGCTGCTGCTGCTGCTCTCTTCCCCCCAGCCACAGGGCGACCTTCTCGCGCAGGTGAAAAAAGTGCGGCCCCTGGCCAAACATGCAGGAGCTGAATCTCTGACAACATCCAGGGTGCAAGGAGTATCTGGTCGAGCTACGCGATTGGCATTAAGTCGGGCGTGTCCGCCTACAGGGGGATTTTCGACGAACAATAAAAAAAATACCCCAAAAATCTCAAAAATATTTTAAAAAATAGTCCCAGACTATTTTTGGATCACTTTTTGATTATTTTTGGTATATGGTTTATTTGTCGTTGAACATCCCCCTGTAAGGGGACAGGCCCGACTTAAGATTTGCGCCATCCGACGCATCTGACCTTTCCCGCGGACAGGATCCAGCACGAGGGCGGACGTCACGCTCCCCTGGAGCATCCAGCGACGTCGAGGGCCTCGAAGACGGTAACCTGGTCAGGGCTGCTTGGTGTCAGCATTAGGTCGGGCCTGTCCCCCTACAGGGGGATTTTGGGCGAAAAATCACAAATACCCAGAGATAGCCAGAAAATGCACAAGAATTGTCAAAACATAGTCCCCAGACTAATTTCTCACTCTTTTTAAATATTCCCCTGTAGAGGGACAGGCCCGACTTCATGTTAGCACGACGCTCAACCATTGCATTCACGGACCGACGCTGGCAGACGGCGACGAGTTGGCCAAGAACCGGCCACCCCCTAAGGCGACCAATCAGCTCATGATAGCAGTCATCGGCCTGACCTAAGGAACGATAAATAAGGAACGAAGCCCCTTCTTTACCCCAAGGAATAACGCATAAGGAACGATAAATAACAAATAACGCATGAGGAACTGTAAATAACGCATGCAAACCTAAGGAACGACCGAACCCCTTTTGAAAAGTAAGTGTTCCTTTTTCAAGCCGCTCACTGTAGCAGTCATGAGTGCGAGGTTCGACCACTCTCACAAGCACTCCATGCTGGAGGGCAACGTCAGCGGTACCAGCACGAAGCGCACCAAGGCTTCGGAGGGCTACCCGTGCATCCTGGCGGCCACGCTGGCCCAAGTCACGGTGGAGCCCGAGATCGAGGAGATCTGCAACAACGCGTGCGACAGCAACACCAAAAACGATGGAGCCGACGGCCCGAAATACGGACAAGGACGAGAAGGACAAGGACGAGGTGGTTCATGCACATCTGCAGCTACGTGAGAAAGACGGCACGGAGGCCCTACGCTACGTGAAGCGGGTGCATCGCAACATGCGTCATCCTAAGCCTGTCGTACCGCACCGACTACTTCAACAAGCTGGCGCGCAGGAGAATGTGCTCAACTGCGCGGCAGAGGTACCAATGCGAGCACTGTGTGAAGCGACAGAGGCCAACCGAGGCGCCGGTAGCATCGGCGAAGCAGGCGACGGAGTTCAACGAGATGGTCTACACCGACGTGTTTTAGATCAAGGCTCAGGCTGGGAAGACAACGGTCTTGTCCATGGTGGACAAAGCTACCAGAAACTGCGCACTGCGTACGATCAAGACGAAGACGGCCGACGAGCTCGTCGAAGCAATCGAGCGCGGCTGGATCAGGCATTTCGGACAAGTCGGCGAGCTACGCACCGACGACGGCTCAGGTTTCGCCTCGGAGAGGCTCACGCAGCTCTTGGGGCAGCGCAGCATCAACATTATGATCTCAGCAGGCAAGTCACACTCGAGCCCCGGAGTGGTGGAGCTACGTCACCAGGAGGTTTGGGAGGCTATCGATCTATACTGCGCTGACGCGACCAAGCGTGAAGCCAACGCGACCATAGACGAGAACCTCATCGCCGAGGCATGCGCATGCGTGCCCCACTAGTTCAACCGCCTGGCGTTCGCGAACAAAAATAATCGCCATACCACTGGGTTTTTGGTATGAACCCTACCACGACAAATTCTCGCCGGCGCCATGCTACCGGATGAAGGAGGACGAGGACGAAAAAAACGTGTTGGACAACAGGTCCATGGCGACGACAGCTCTCAGGGAAGCCGACGAGTCGGCTAAACTACGACGCGCTCTACGACTCGGCACGAGAACTACGACGGCACGCGGTGCCTCGACTGGCGAGAGGGGAAAG